TTTTAAACAAGGGATTGGACTTCTGCTTTTTCTCTGGACACAGGCGTGGCATGGACTCCCATGATGCTCTCTTGGCTCATCGCCCACCCGGGCCTTTTCTGAGGTTCTTCTGCAAAGTTAACCTGGAACAATTATTTCCATAATCATAATGTTCCAAAGAAATCTGTTTCATGTTTGGACTATACTGCTGTAATTATAAACTCTCGTTAACCAACAGCTGTGATGAGAGTTTGGAAGGTGTCAAGTCGGATTTACAGCAGTTTGCTGTATCAGCAGATGTTCATTTTGAGGGGAAAAGGTATTAGTTCACATGTGTTCAATTTTGTGAAGTCTGCACATTTACTCTGAAAACACGCAACATGATAATTTGATTTGCAACACATAGGCTACAATATGTTCCCTAATGCTCCCAGGAAGAATGATTCAGAACATTTATTGCTTTTATTATAATTTAACAGTTTTAAAACCTTAAAAGAAAGATTCTGGGAGCACAGACACACTCTTGAAAGCACAGCCTTCGCAAAAATAAAGGTGCAGGCATTCACACTTGCTGCTCTGCTTCATGGGGAGAGATTCAGGTCTGTGGCTGACCACACAACTGCAAAGGCTGTGCTCACAACTGGATGTACACTGGTCTCTGCCAGATGGGTCCGGTGAGATGCAGGAGGAGGAGGTGAGGGTGCAAACAGTCAAGAGTTCATCTTACATGACTTGGGGCTCTAGCCCTGGCCCTGAGGCACACGCTGACCGCAGGGAGACCGCTCACAAGAGCCGTGCTCCAGTGTGCTCTGCGGTCTGCCATTGAGTCATACATTTCCGAATTAATTAACCAGTTTTCTTCCGTTTCAATAAAGTGAATGAAAGCATGACTAAAACTTGATAAAACAAACATCTTGCAAAACCGTTTTAAAAAACAACTTACGGTATATTCATTGACACTTTTTAAGTTCCTACTTTGCCTCCATAGAGTACCAGGAGTGAACAGCCCTTACCATTTAAATTTACTAAACAGTATTATAGAGTCGCCTTTTACGAAAGATTTTCAAACAACAATGTCCTGCAAGTACCATGTCAGACTCAGCACTGGCCAGTTCTGCTGCTGCAGCAGAACAGTTATCACCTCCTGTAAGTGAATGCCAGATGTAAGCTGCTGTCCACTGAAGGCTTATTATCGAATCCAAATCCTCTATCAGTTACCTCCCAGTGAGCTATATAAGGGGTTATTGTCAATGGTATGAGAAAATCTCAAATTACCTAGCAATACAGAAAAAATCCAAAATTCACAGTGACAGCATATATACTGTATACAGTATATACTGCACACTGTACTGTACATTGCATCCTAAAATGGTTAAGACATATGGTGAGGACCTATTTTCACTCAAAACTCAAATTAACATTGCTGACAAGAAAAGGGAATTGCCAGGAAATGAAACCTTTTGATTTTTATCAGTAACAAATAAGGGAAGGAAAGGAAGTTATACAGTAAACTGTAAGCCAAACCCTCAGTTCACTACAGGATGAAAGAAAAAAAAACTGGAGCAGGCAGGAATTGTCCACCACACAGGTCTGTTTCAAGGGGTAAGTTCTGGAAAAATATTGAGGGGACAAAAGCCAAGTACAGAAAACACTTTCCCCCTAGAGGTTGCTGTGGTTGATTTTAAGAGTGAAACAAACTTTACATTCTGCACTGAGCTGTGCTACACTGATTAAAAAATGTGAAATTGTTCTTTTAAAAACAGTATTTGAGTTTACTGACATTTTCAGAGAAGACCAAGTAATTTTCTACATTCAAATCACATTGATGGTACAAGTAAACAGACTCTGCTTTGTGAAACCAATGACGACTCATATCTTAACTCTCACCCTTCGGGCACAAAATCTTTTACTGGCAGGTCTGACTGCCGCTGAACAAACTCTTCAGCAAGGTTGGAAGAAGAATCCCTGCACTGCGCCCAGCTGCGGTCACTTGCAGAATGTGTATCGGCGCAGAGAGGTGCAGCTTGATTACTTTGTGCGCAGGCTGCCAGCCTGGTCACACACAGAAACTTTACAACATTTCTTGATTAGTCACCATTCACTTTTTCCTTGCTTCTCCTCCAAGATCCATAACTTTCATATCATTTGTGCTTTCTGTTGGAGTGTGTTCAGCTCTTGCTACGTTTTGAAACCTTAATTAAAAAAACAGGAACTGAATAAGAATCTTGAAGCGCAGCGAACAGTACGAGTCTCCTTCGCTTTAAGCAGCTTATTTAAATGACCCTCACAAATGAGAGACCCTACTGCGAGTCTCTGTCACTACAGGACCCAGTTCCAGCAGTGGTATACTGTAGAAAGTTCAGTGGAGAGCACAGGGCAGGACCCACTCTTGTCACCCTTGTGGGTCTTTGCCCTCTTTTTCAGACGTCTCATACTGTAATTGCTTTTCTCGTGCGCCTCTCAACACCCCAGCTCTTAAACCTGGGAAACACGGACAAACCCCACAAACGGAATATGCAGGACGCCTCGGTGTTTGCAGGAACGAGGGTAGTCTGACGCCGTCTGCTGATGGATCTGGATGGTAAGCTGTGACAATGGCGCTAAAAACAATCCACTACATCACCTCAGGCATATTTGTCACCTGCAGACGTAATTACCGTAATGATGCGCCAATTCCATCTGCTGCAGGATCTGCCACACGACAGGCCCCGAGTCTGTTCTGTGACAAGCAGGGCCACCTCCTCACAATGAGCGATACCTGTTTCATTGTCTGCTGTGGAATGGATGTGCATACTGTACTGTAAGTACATCAAGCAGGAGGACAATAAATGCATACTGTATGTCTTCCTCAGTCACCCAAGACTCAGTCCTCCGGAGGTCTAGGATGTGTTGGAGTGGGTATAATGCTTAATGATTTGTAAAAACTGGACGTGATTTCAGCTGTTTGGACCTGATCCACATCGGAACATAAAGATCACAAACAGGACACCTAGTCCATCAGGCTGCTAGTAGGGAACTGACCTGAGGATCTCATCCTCAACAAGATGGCCTGGAAGGTTTTCTGACACACTTGCCTGCAGTTTTCACTTGTGTCCCCTGGTTTATGTGTCACTGGCGATTCTGAAGAAGTCCAGTGTTTAGACTGCCAATGCCTTTGTGGAGTCTGAATACTTGAGTCAGATCCCAAACAGTTAAATTATTCATACAAATTAACTTCTGCCCTGAAATATACTTCTGCTATCTCCCATAGGTAACACCTAAATATTAGGAAGAATGCATGTTAATAACACTAGGCAGGAACTAAATATTTTATGGTAATATATATTTCAGTTCTATTTAAGCCCTCATTCAATAATTGCATACTGTATTCTCAGTATGACAGCTAAACATACCACTGAATTGGTGGCTTAAATTGCGAAAAAAAAATACTTAACTGAAGTACATTTTTATATTTTCAATCAGACCTACAACACCTTTACGGAAATGAACATGCAGCTACTCAAGCATGATGTCATTTCAGAAAAATCAAATTTTTAACAAGATTGAGGGTGAGATCGGTCACCTTTTTTCCCCGGAAAATCATCTGCTTTCTTGCTATCTGTGCGAGAAAATGTAGGCAGCTCTCATCAGCATCGGGGAATAATTTATTCACCCAGAGATACTGTACTTTCGAAAAGGAAAAAAAAAACAGACTAACTGCACACCACAATCATCAGACCTGCCCCTGCTTATGAAATGTGGAACACACTCTCTAGCAGTGTATTTAGGATTTTAAAATCTAAAAGACGTCGTTTTGTAAAACAAGTTTTAAAGGCACCGAAACGTTTTAATATGTCACATTTACATGTAAGTACAAAGGTGATACGTCCTTTCAGCTGTATAAAATACCTAATAGCTATCGATATTTGCGCCCGGTACCTTAAAGTTTATAAACAAATTAGGTTTACCCGTTTGTTTGTTAAACTATACCCATTTGTCAATGATATCTCTTCTACGTGTATTGAACATGCGTTTTTTCAGTGTGTACACAAGTGTATCGAAATCTCCTGAGCAAAGGGGAAGTTAAGATGTTCCAGTGAATGCACACATGATAAATGTTGCTCCACTGCTCACGTTTGCAATCCTATGGTCGATTACAGGACATAGATTCGAAAGTTTGTCAATCTTCTGACAGAAAAACGTCATTCTGAAGTGTCACACTGAGTGTAAAAGAACAAAAAAAAATACAGCCTATACAGTATGTCGTTTGCTTTATTTTCGCCAAACTGGCCATTTAGTAGACAATTCATGGGGAACACATTCAAAGGCGTAAATATGCTTAACATTCTCTAAAAAAAACTGTTTCTGCGCCTCCTTTCCAAAGCAGCGCTTCTTTCGTGCAGTTTCATAAATAGCTTTTAATATTCAAACAGACGCTTAATTCCCCATGAATTCCAAACTAACAATGCCAAAAACGTTTCGTGTGTCTATCCTCAACATTCACAAAGTTGTGTTTCTATTGATTTGCACTGCAGGGCATTAAGAGATACTCGCAGGTTGTAGTAAACTCATCTCTACATTCGCAGATGGCAGAGCATCGTGCCTTCTCCGAAAATGCATAAACTTTGCTAACAACGAAAAAACTAAAATGGTTAGATTAAACAAGCCTTGACGAAAATCTGGGAAAAAAGCCCTAGAGACAGAAAACTAAAGTTTTCACATACCGGACAATATCTGTATTGCTTACCTCCGGCTTTCTTTCAAGACTCAGTGCGGTATACTATCGGCTTTTTTTCTCATGCGTTTTGTCTAAACTTATTTAGTAAGATCAAAAGGGTACAATGAGATTTCCATGACTGCCTTTTGGATCGCCTTTTGAGAACGAGTTAAAAAAAACAACGTAAACACAACGTTAAGTAATAAAAACACTGTTCGGTTGAAGTGAGCTCCACGGAATCAAAATCCTCCTGTTTTCATCGCAGGAACACAGCACGTTTTCCTTTCCAAGTAACTGGGAATTTTAACTGTTCTGTCATTCTTACCTTCTCCGGTAGGCCGACTCAGACTATGGGCTGCACTCTTCGATCCTAAATACGCAGTTGTTGTTGTTGTTGTTGTTTCCCAAAAAATAAATCAATAGTGATACTGATAGAACCTACGGTACGGGACTCTTAACGTTTCACTTTCCCCGTCAACAGTCCGGTGCTAGCTTTCTGCGTCTTTGCCTTCTTTGCTCTCCGAGTGTCTGCAGCACCCACTAGTGACCTCACCGAGCTCGGAGCAGCGCTTCACGGATAGGTATGGAGCTTACACAGCACCGACTGCACAATTCAGCCGCCCTTGGACTACTTTATGCAAGGCATTGCTTGCTACGAGCCTGGCACAAAGGATTCTACTGTACGTAACCGTTTGTGGAATGGATGTTCCCAATCTACGGATCTACATTTGTCCTCGCCTTTGGTATTTTAAGGATTGCTGGAAAACATTTTCACTCACACACTGAAATTCTCCAGTATTTCTTCGGAACTTTGAAGGTGATTCAAAGTCGTCCACCTAAAGAGTAGAGTTATTACTGTACTGTACTGTACATGTATATATAGAAAATTAAAAGCCAATCCGTTATGTAAAGATCATCCTTCTTACCTGTTGAGTATATTGTCTAAATAGCACAGTAACTGAATCTGTCCAAGGAAAACCAGACAGAATAAAATACTAGTTGAACAGCGATATGAGATGATGCTGCAGGGTTCAGTAAAACTGCACTGGCCAGACCATTAAACAGATTAATTCGCTTTGATTTTGTTAGACCAATAAATAGTGAATCATCTGTTACAGAAATGACTTTTTCAAAGACTCATTACAAATATCCATTACCAATAAAATACCTTAAAATATTTTTCAGGAATTTCCATATTGGCTAGTTGTTATTATTTTCATTTAAAACCACAGTTGAATAAAAAAGAAAAGCTCAGGCTCCCTTGCAAATCTGTGTTGGATAAAGCAGTTAGTACTGTAAGTGGATGGGTGGCTGAATGGATGGAGAATAAAAATTCACCTGGTTGAAGTCAAAATTCCTCAAGTGGAGTTTTCCCATACAGCAGTTTGAAGGGGGATAAATAACGAGTGGAGGTCATTCATCAACTTTTATCTGTTAACCATTTACACTCAGCTGGCTCCTGAGGTTTGTCGTCCAAATAAATAAATCCCAGAGTTGTTAGGCACTGTACAGTAGTTCATCACAAACACACGAACCCTGTGCCTGTTATTTCCAATAGAGTCCATAATGGACCAATAACAGGCACAGGTGTTCCCAGTCCTTAGAGGTGATGGATTTAAGAAGACCTACTGTGCAGTATATACAATAAATCTTTCTGGATCCAGGACCAGGGTTAGAAGTCTTTGCTCTCTGTACAGTACGTTCAGGCCAGTGCTCTGCAGCGGTGGTAGGGAGAGCCCCAACCTGGCTCTGGTTCTGAAGTAATGTAGAGATCATTTAACAAAAAAATATAACATTCTTCAGCCCGCAAGGACAAGTGTCCCCAATACTGAAAGAAAAATTGCTTAATTGATCAAACACCTGTTACAAGTGTTTAAATAAGAGGTTTATAGGATGACCTTCAAGAATAACTAGATATTGGCTCCAACCCTGATCCCGCCCAGTGGGACCCCTGTAAACTGCTGCTTTTTTTCCTGACTGAACTGTCTATCACTTGATGGTTGCTTCTTTAGACTTTTGTGTCTCTGTTTCTGCATTAGCAGCCACCCAGGCCCCATAACCTCAGGACACTTTGAGAGAGAGTAGGATTTTGAAATTGACCTGGAACCGAAATTAATTAATAGGTTAATTGAGCGATGCATCTTTAAAACATTGATATTGCTTATTAATTACAATTCTCCTACAAACAGTGCTGTGGGATCTTTAAAGACCAAGTACCCAGGGCCTTAGTTTAACATCTCATCCAAATACACGCTCATATGACAGTAGTCAGTATTCTATGAAACTGTTTTTTTTTTAAAATTCAGATCCAGAGGGAAGATGCCTCCTACTGGTCCACCACCAACACTTACAACAGGAAACTGGAACTCCTTTGAGGATACTGGCCTAGTACTAACCAGATCCCTCTATTCTGAGTTCCTGAGATCTGATCAGACCAAGCTTCAAGGTGCGAATGCCACTGTTATAAACTGAAGATACAGGAACTTTTCATTGCAGAACAGACTGCTCTGACTGATGAAAGTTAGACAAGGCTGGGGAAGTGAGACAACTGTCACACTAGTGGAATCATTTTTCTGCATTTTCTTCTATGATTCTTTATGTGCCAAGAAGGAGACTTAGGTAGACAATAAACCAACTACTGAGGGTGAATGTTTTTGCAAAAGATTGCGTTCATGTTTGTGAAGATCTTTTTTTATCATGCATCATTTCCTAACCAATCGCCACTGTGATAGTCCCTAAGGTTGTTAAGTGTTGTTTCCTCCATTCACTCTTTGGCTATGACAGACAGATAGTGGCTGCTGTATCTCCCAGGACAAAGACAAACCTCTACTTCTCATAATCCAGATACCCAAGAGAGGAACTAGTACAGGTGCTCTCAGATTCTATTCAGGTGATTCATCAAGATCTAAAATGCCTGGGCAACACAGTTTCTTAATTTGTGTGTGAATGAATTTTACAACATCTTTAAAAACAAAAAAGGTGGTTTAAAAGTGTGTAAGTTAACAAAAAAGTAACACATTCCCCAATAAATGGAGTTTTAAAAACAATTTGGGCAGCAGCATTGCAACAATGTCAATCAAGCTGGTATTACTTAAGGTCCTCGAACTTCCCTGTACAGCAGATTTACATTTTTTCTTTAAACGATTTGTGTAAAAAAGTTTTGTCCCACCTTTTGCACATAACCAGTAGAAAGTAGGGTAGGGTAAAAAAGAATCAATATGAAAACAAGGTGATGGACAGGTTGAAACAACCTCAACATCAAAACAAGACCTGACCCGGGCTCAAACTCGTGTCCAGATGTGGCACATGAGACAGGCAATGTTCTTAGAAGTCAAACGGGCAGTGGAAGACTGAAGCAGAAACATGATCACCTGCATAGATTACTAAACCTGTTTATTTGTAATTCCCCGTGTACAAAAAAGCTGATCACGTTAGTCCTACTTTTTGAATTGACAGACAAGGACATTTTCTTGATATACTGCTCATATAATGTGCTGAAGAAAGCAATTAAAATAATTGCCCAGAATTCTGAAGAGAACCCTACTGCTAGTAAGATTCTCTGTGGAAAAACATGAAGACATGCAGTTCAAAATGCCTCATGACAACAAGGACCTTTGTTTTATTTGTGTTTTTAAAAGAGTTCCACCAGGCCGATACCTTTTTTGAAGAGTGCATAACTTTATTGCTGGAATGGTGAAAGCTTACAGAGACTTGGGAGATAAAAGAGTTTTTGAAAATAAAGCATTTTCAGGAACACAGTAAGGACAGTTCTAGAGACGGAGAGGGCAACTGTGGTTCAGATCATGGGACAAAACATGGTAAATTCTTTTGGAGAAATCGTTTCCTCTGCTTTTTTTAAATAATCACTTAAACATGGTTTTTAATCAGGCAAAGCCATCAGGGAATATTTCAGTTCAACAGCACTGCAAACACAAAACCGCAAGTTCCGTACTGTAATAGTTATTTATTTTATGAATATCAGGACAACGGAAAAGCCACAAAGAGAGGAGGACATTCAGCACATTATTTACGATCTTTAAGTAGAAAAACTATCCACTATTTTAAAACTAACACAAAGTTTTGTGATGGTGTCTCAAACACTTGCACTAATATGAGACACACCCTCGGACATTCAATTTCTGGTGCCACTTCAGGGTGGAAAAGCTCTTTGTCTGATGGTTTTATCCAAATAGACGTACATTGTATCCATTTATACACCTAGCAACATTACTTGAGCAATCACAGTAACAAAATTTGGTCAAGGGGAGTGTAGCAGTAGTGGTTCATCTAGCATTGGAGCCTCCCATATGCAAGTCTAGAGCCCTGAACACTCCTCCACACTGCCACCTGAACAGGAACCAACAGGTAACAAAAGACAAGCTGGCAGAATCAAAGGCCTGTGAAAGGATTGCCACTCTTGTTTTGAACTCTTCTTGTTTGCAAAAAACAAACAGACAAAATGTACTTTTGTCTGCAGATCACTCTATCCCCCCCGTCACTGCCTCCTGTTATTGAGACTGCAAATGTTGCACATCTGTTGAAAATTATTTGGGACATCCAAGTTATTTGTTGTTGATGTTTTTTTCCCTCTTGTTTTCAATTTACTCATAATTTAAAGAAAGAAAATACAGCTTTTCCTCCCACAGATAAAAAATACTCATAACAACCCTTTTGTATAACATTTAAGTGAACAGGTCACACATCATTGAAGAATTCCAACTATTTAACACTTTATATGAACATTTGTCTACAGGTATATATGAACATTGACTCATCCTTTGTATGCTCTTATAAGAAAAAAAACATTGATTTTAAGAAAACATTTTACTGTACTACAAATGGTAGAATTATTGACACCCTATCTAATGTTTCTTTTGAGCTCAAAAGCATCTTTTAACTTTTCATGAAAACCAAAGGTTGTGCAACCATTTCCAATGTAGTTTTCATGTGCATATACTGCACTTAATAGCAGCAAAAGCAAAAGTTTGTATTTGGCTTTGGAATATCAGAACTGTAGGAAAAACAGAGCTAAAAATAAAAGACATAAAAGAAAACCAGTAAATGCACAACTGCTACTAATCTAAAGTTAACAGATCTTAACTTGTCCATTCATCTAAAATATACAAAAAACACCCACGTGCATCCCTTGAAGCCTCAATAAATATACAATCGATACATTTATATTCAGTTAGTGACCTAAGCTGAATTTCAGTGTGAATAGCACAACAAATTTTGCAACACATGAATAACTCAGTCCAAATGTGCTCTATGGGTTTCTGTCACCTCCATTTTCTTTACATTTTTATTCTGCTTGAAAAATCTGACTAGCAATGGGGAAGAAAGGAAAGATTTCCAGCACTGTGTGGACAATTTAGACAGCCCTGTTTCTTTCTGATAAAAACATTAAGCTCATGAATCTACAACAAAAGCCTTTTACTTTTGAGTTCAGACAGTCAATACCTTTTTCTGTTTTTTACACAATCACATTCAAGAAAAATACTTACAATATCTTCCAAAGGTTTTCCAATTCATGTGTACTACAAAACCAGGTTCACTCAGTTTATTATAGAAGCCTGCCTGCTGGACACAGTTGGCTCTGTGTTAAGCTGTGATCTACTGTACACTTCCTGACCTCCTGTGAAATCTTTGGTCAGACTGAACCTTCCAGGCATTGCTCTAAAAAACATACTTCTGACTGTCCATAAATTACACAAAACTAACCTATTTTAAGTTGAAAGGCATAAAAGTTTTGTTGGGAATTTCAAAATAAATACACGATAGGAAGTATTTAGTAAAATGATCCCTCATGTTTTCTTTCGTATCCAATAGAAAAGAAAATGTATTTTTCATTGCAGTGCATGCGGATTTTACTTAAAGACTTACTGTACAACACAAAAGACCATAATGCAAAGCAATCATTTTATATTCTATCATCTGCAGCAATTGTTTGCTTATATTTAAGCCATGCCCTGTGAAGTACACAGCAATTCCACAAAACTTGAAGGTTACAGCTAGGTTTGTGATTTCCTATTTCGGCACCGATTCAGAAAAGACAAAGAAATGAAAAACAGGCATTTTACTCAGTATCAAACTCTCTGTGTAGCAGACAATTACATATTATTAAATTGAAATTCAAACACCACAGACATGAATTGTTCAGTACAGTATGTGCTTATATCATGCTGTGGCATTAAGCGCACAAGCTCAATTAAGCTGCTGTGTATTTGTAAAGTGGCTTAGAAAAAAAGTTCCCTCATAGCACTCCTGGATGAGAAGTGAAGAAGTATGCGAAACACATTTTTGTCTTTTAAATTACAGATGTTCAGTATGATGCTTTATTTGTATCCACAGTTTAATTCCTTTTTATCTGAAGCATTTAAACTACACAGGAAGGAGATATGTCGGTAATTCAGAAAGAGATTCACTGGGGTTTTAGGAGAAGTTAATGATTAGAAACCACTTCAAAGAAAATTTGAAACTGCCTGCTTTTCTTCCGTGAGAGGAAATTCTAAGACATTATGTTTGCATATTTCCATCTGAGCTGACCACCATTTATAAAGATCTACAATTCGAACAGATTCTGCAGTTCCTCACTTAAACACTTCTCCTGGTGGAGAAGGTCACTGATGACACTGCCGCTTTTCAGCGCAGAACAAAGACTGTTATTCTGAATATGTACAGTATGTCTGGTCAAGCCTTTTTGTTAAAGCACTTGGAAGAACATGATCTGTTAGTCAATACTGAACCAGATCAGGAAGATACTATTACACTAAATCAACTAGTTTTTTTTAAAAAAGCACTTTGAGACTATTGTGCAATACGCACTTAAAGGACATGAGAAACATTTGCAACATGTTTAATGAATCATTTAACAATACAGGGGCTTCAGAACTCCTAGCTTAGCACTGCAGTATTTACATTTTTTTTTGTCATTAAAAAATCAGAATCCACTTATTTGCTTTGGGTAACTTTGAGGAAATACCCAACTTTAAATCCAACTCTAAATCAAACAACTCTGAAATCCTTCAGTGAAAGGCAAGGAGCACAGACAATTATCAATAAAGCAATGAAGTGGTTTCACTAATGGAACTCATTCTTCTAAACTGACACTCCTTCCTTGACTACAAGTGCTTCTTGCATAAAGTACTCATCACTTTACTGCTGAGATACTTCAAAACCCAAAGCCTTGTGAATTAAAACTCACCTTGAATAAACTACTGTACAGTATTACAAATGAAATCCAGTGGTGTTAATGCATTTTGACAGAAGATATTCATACTAACTTCTCATCCAGAGTGCTGTCCTGTCTTCCTCTCTGGGCTCCGAGTTATAACCCCTACAGAAATAGGTGGTTTTCTAATAATCAATGGTTGGATAATATGAGCTTAATCAAAAAAACAGTCTCTAAAGAGACTACAGTTCTGACACACAGAGAACTTGTTAAAAGACAAGATAAAACAGAGGTGGGATACCCTCATTCACTTCTACTGTATAGTACAGTTGCTGGCAAGCCATAAAGGGAGGAATATAATCCATATAAGGAAGTGTTTTCATTTTATTTGTTTGCAGTAATGAACCTCTAGACCTCCACAGCATAGAGTATGCTAGGGTGATAGATTTAACATGCAGTCTTCACCGTTTCTCGCTCTGTAAGCCAAGGGCTCCCGCACAAACTGCACTGATGGAGGATAAAAACAATGCATTTCACAGGACTGGGTCATCAGCCATCCATGTGTTTAAACTAATATGAAATAAAGCAACAGGGCAGACATATCCAAGCAGTGGAATGAGGGCATGTGGATGCCCTGCACCTGAGGATCAGCTGTGTAATGGGACATTCTCTGTCGCCTTGTGTGTGTATAGTGATCTCAGATTGCTGTGGATTAATTTTGGCACAGAACATTTCAGCTAACACGTGGAAATGAAACACAATTTGTTATCCCAATCCATCTCTACTTTCACTCTCAGTTTTTAAAATTAATTGACACCATTAACTTGATTCTCTGTTGGTTCGTGCACTAAAAATTGTATTTTGCGTCACCCAAAGTAGCACTGACCAACTGGACATAACTTATCAATTGGTATTGAATGTTGCATTAACTTTTGAAAGAGGAAAAGAGAAAGAAACAAAGCCCCAACACCAAATATTTCTCAAAAATAAGGTCCATAAGAAAGTAAGAATCATTCTTTAGAACAAAGCATCTCAACAGCCGGTGAGCATATTCTCCTTTCCTTCTTCTTCTTTCACAGGACTTGCAGAATCAAGGAATCAAGGTACTCAGATTCTGACAGTGTGTGCGTGTTTCTTGCAAAGCGGCTTATCCTTTTTGGAGAAGAAAGCCTGGCCTTCCAGACTTGTACAACACACCTTAACAAAACAAACAAAAATGCCATCAGAATTGTGCACTCCCCCCCCTCAGAAAATAAAGTTTCAACATCTTTTTTTACAGAGATTAAACAAGCTTACAAACTTCACAATTCCTTTGGCCCATATAAGCATGCAGCAGCATTGTCAGAAATAAGAACAGACAACACAAAATAAAAGAACCTATTGCATTAGAAACATCAAATGATTCTTTTCAATAAACTGTAACATTTTACCATCTGTTCTCCAAGCAATACTTTAGTTTAAACTCAGGCAGACATTACACACACTGACATACCGCACAGACAAAGCAGGTGTCATGCCAAGTGTAGCCCAAGGCTTCCAGAAACTTGTCCCCAGCCTCAATGGGGAAGTCACAACCATGACAGCTCGTACCAAACAGATTGTAATAGTCTGTGAAAAAAACAAGAGCAAACAGTTGGGCAGTTTACTTATTGGTCTGTAGCTAAGAGCCTAGTGAAGCAGGACCAAGAAAATGCTCCTCCTCCTGTTTCAGCCTACCTCAGGTACTGCACCAATTGGACGATTAATGAGCTTGTTCAAAGAGAGTCCTGCATCAGATGTAGCTGAATGGGCATACTTCAATACAGAGATTAAACTATTCAATAATTATGTCTGTTTTGATTTGCCAGAACTGCTAACAAGTTCAAAATCTGACAACTCAGCAACACTATAATGTATCTTCTGAGATCAATATGTTTTTATGTGCATGGATGGTTCAAAATTGTATCCAAGAATGAAAAACGAAAATGGAAGGCAATTAAAACAAACAGGAAGTTTTCAACTTTACTGAGTAACATTTAATTTAGGAGAACTTTAATATTAGGGAATTCTGTACATACTGTACATATTTAATGCAGGTCAGAATAGATTTCTTTGAATTTACATTTTCTTTTCCCCCATGTCCACTGGACAACCTACAGTATACAAGTGCTATTTTCTTATAATTATTATGTAACCTACTGCTATTCTGTCCAGTGTTTGATTTTTAGGTGCCCTGTTGTGTGTTTGGCACCTCACAAAAGAGAAATGTAGCCTCACGATCCCCTGTCCTGTTTCTTAAGGAGTCTCGGGAGCAGCAGTTTTTACCTCTGTCACAGTAGGGCTCGCCATCTTCCAGGTGGAAGACGTTGTTGCGGATGGGCTGCTGACATGCAGCGCACAGGAAGCAGTAGACATGCCAGGTCTGCTTCAGGGCATTGATAATCTCCTGTGGGACAAAGCAACGACAGCACTCTGTTTACTCATCTCTGTTCCACAAGAAAGCTACATTCCATTATTACAAAACCATCATTGGTTCAAGAGATCAGCATTCAGGTTAACCCTTGGGTCACAGCAATTTACATCCTTTATGAAGCAGATCAGTTCATTGAGAATACGTTCTCATTTACAAATGAGACTGGGAGACAGATTTATTTAGTCATTTACTGGAGCAGTTTAAGTACAATAGAAAAATGAAGATGAAATGCATTTAAATGCTGATAACAAGAAGTGTTATACAAAAATGGGGCAAGACTCCCTTATTCTTGGATAAAACATCTAACAGAAAGCAAATTAAATACGACAGAAGGGCTCCTTACTTTTGAAAAAATTAACTAGGCAGACATCATCATTGTGGTTGAGATCCACAAAAAATCCACATACTGTACAAATCACTATTTAAAAATGCTGATTTGTGTAAAAAAGCAGAGATTTTATGTAATTGTTATACTGTAGCTACCGATGTCAAAGTAAGCTCTTCATCTATAAGAAACAATTACACAAAAATGAGTCTCACTTAAGCATGTGTTTGTCTGTAGCTCAAATTCTGAAACATAAGTGAGGGCAAAAATACCACAACCTTCCTACCACTAACCAAGCTGCAATAAAATTATGAAATTAGTTTTAGAATTACATTTTGTTCTTTTGCCATCAGTGAACTGGGAACATAAATATCCTACACTGTTGCAAATACTGGCAACAGCTATAGACCAACAGTTACAAAAAGCTTCAAGGAATACCAGAAATAGACTACAAGCAAGTTTGTCATAATTCATTAATAGAACTATGTGTTATTGTTTCTATGTTTTCTGTACAACACAGCAACCTTCCAGACAGCTGGGATGATTTTACAAACTATTCCAGCTCTCTTAAACAAATCATTTGAGGGTCCATCTGAAATGTCTGCAGGAACACAAACCTTTAACCAGCTGGGTTTAATTTCAGCCTGGTTTGCTGGCCACTTCACTGAGCAGGGCTGAGATCTGCAGGGTGTTGTCTTTGCTATAAAGAGACCTGGCTGTCACAGGGGATTGAAGGAGTACAATCCACTGTATTCACACTTGTAATATACTCCTTCTCCTCCATGAGCTCTTTTTCCATTGCCTGCTTCTCTTTTCCACAAAAATACCAAAAGGTAATGGCTAGATGCTTGTCATTACCTTGTCTGAGCTCTAATTACATTACTTAAGGCAGGTAATTGCAACACATTACAGATATTTAGTAATCTGATTACTAGTACTTAATCTGTTACATCCCAACACTGCATGGGGGTAAATTGTGTATATATGGCCCTTCACTGCGGTTTTGAAAAACATTAAATATATAAATTTACCATAAAAAAGTAGCCAAAGAATTTTGTGATAATTTCAGTCTCAAATGCCCTATTCCTTCTTAAAATATATATTCCCATCATTTATTGACCTTAAAAAAAATTCTCCACCACCCATTGCCATAAATCAAGTTAACCGGCTTCTCAAAACTGCAAATTAATACTGCAGAGATTCTGAGAGGAACATTTGCTTTGTGAAAATCCATCAAGAAATTTTGTGTAGTTAGTAATAAAATAATAATAATAATAATAATAATTGCTTACACTTATATAGTGCTTTTCTGGACACTCCACTCAAAGCGCTTTACAGGTAATGGGGACTCCCCTCCACCACCACCACCAGTGTGCAGCATCCACCTGGATGATGCGACAGCAGCCATAGTGCGCCAGAACGCTCACCACACACCAGCTATCAGTGGTGAGGAGAGCAGAGTAATGAAGCCAATTCATAGAGGGGGATTATTAGGAGGCCATGATTGGTAAGGGCCAATGGGAAATTTGGCCAGGACACCGGGGTTACACCCCTATTCTTTACGAGAAACACCCTAGGATTTTTAATGACCACAGAGAGTCAGGACCTAGGTTTTACGTCTCATCCAAAGGACGGCGCCTGTTTACAGTATAGTCAGTACAATACGTCCCCGTCACTATACTGGGGCATTAGGACCCACATGGACCGCAGGGTGAGTGCCCCTGGCTGGCCCCACTAACACCTCTTCCAGCATTTTCCCAAGAGGTCTACAATCCAGGTACAGACCAGGCTCACACCTGCTTAGCTTCAGTGGGTTGCCAGTTGTGAGTTGCAGAGTGATATGGCTGCTGCTAGTACTCAGAGATACTCCAGAAGATGACTGTATAACTTTGCATACAACATTGCATCTTTACAGGAATAATGCACAATTTTAAGTGCTCGGCTGTACAGGGCACAAGCAGCACAGTAACCATTTTGGCATCTGTTGGCTCTTACCTACCACCATTCCGAACTGTGGCTGCTGACCTCTTAACAGCCCCAGGAGAACAAGCCTGCCTTAATCATCATGTGTTGGTCAGCTTCAAACAGCTCTCTAGTGCTAATTCTGACACATCTGACTATCACTCCCGTCCCTCGAAAGCCACATGATTAAGATTAGATGCACATACTTATTCCACACAGCTGGGCAGTGAGAAAAGGGGATTACAATGATATACAGTATACCATCGCCTAGTTAATTAATATGACAGTGTGTCCTCACTGAAGGCTCCAGCTTCCTCATAATGAATGTCTGCACCTCTTTCTAAACAAAAAAAGTTACATTATACCATCAACAGAGTTTTGATATCAATACCATGATAGAGTTTTCATAGAAAACTGCGATTCTTTTAAATCTATGTAACAAGTTCAAAAGTCGATTTCCTGTAAGTCTAGTTCTGAAGGCTGGAATGTGTCTGTATTTTACCCATAGAGATCAGGAGCTATACCAAGGGCTTTTTTATGGCACTTGTCTTTTATTTTATGTAGGTTCCTATGACAAGACCTAATTTCTGTCTTGAAAGTTTGTTTACTACAGCATATAGGCTTGTTTATGTCCTTTTGACCACACAGGTTTATTTACTACAAGTCCATGTTCAAGAGCGATTTTGAATTCACAGTACAGTACATTACTGCCCTTAAGAACTCAAAGAGCTTTTGGTGTGACAGTAATCCCTGGAAACAGGATCACATTCTATGGCAACATGCAGCACGTTCACTGCTGTCTTCAGGACTCACCCCAAGAATCTTTCGCTGACAGCGGCCACAGGTAGGAGCGAAGAACTGCTCATAGCAGTGCTCACAGTACACAGACCCCTTCTCTTCCACAAAGCCGATTTCGGCCAGGGAGGTCTTGCAGTGAGCACAGTTAAACTCCTCTGGGTGCCAGGCCTTGCCCAAAGCAAGCAGGAATGGACCTCTAAAAGCAAAAGAGAGATAATAAGAGGACTAATGTTCAACACTGTGTGTGGGCTAACTGCATGGGCACATCTAGGGTGTTTAAATCTGACCCTCTGAAGTTCATGGGCAAAACAATATTAGCCAATCTGATTCATTTGACAGAAATAATTAAATAACCAAACAGCATATCAATAGTTATTAGAACAAAAATGCCAAAAAATGAGGTGTGTTGTTGTTTCAAGTTACTAAACAGTTTAACACACCGTGATACAGTACATCAGAAACTTGAATACAACAATACTTGCAGTGTGAAAATGGAGAAATTTGTGCCAGGATGTCCTAAAAGAACTCCAAACCTATTGCACATCTGTACATTCCTCATACAACACAATAAAGCAAAGAGACAATGGAATGAGAACAGCTGTTTTGAGGTGGTTAACACTGGCTCTGTGTTCCTGCTGGACAGCGCAAGTTCATTACATACTGCACAGCAGCCCTTGTTATCTGTTGAACAGTGTCCAGTGCAAAAGCTCACATTCAAAATGTACAGTTAGAGACCCAGATCTGACAGAGTTGTATGGTTCAGCACCTTAAACAACTGCTTAAGTTGCAAACTGGTACAGAGCTGCAAGAGAGAGATGAATACAAAAATGGAATATGTGTATGCCTCAGAAATATATGTTTGAATTATAAACTCCTTTGTTTGTCTGAGACAATGTCACAAAACTTTATACAGTAAACAATAATTTACCAGTTTTCAGTTCTTGGATCAGTAGCATTGAACTGAGTTTTGTCTGTCCTGGGAGTTAAAATGCAGGTCTGTGTTAGGTTTTTGCACCTTATTTCAGATTAATTTCCAACAGGCTAAAAATACATCTTTTTTTAACAGTGTTACAGTTACATAACTGTAATGCACTGTTTACATACTAATCCCCAAGGATGAATACCTGCTTTATTGAAGTTTCTAATTTGGTATGAATCATTTCACACCATATATGTGATTATTATAAAAACAAATTACAGACTGCATTTTATTTATCATACCAAAACAACTGTTTAAGTATTGAGTCTAAATGTTTGAAAGTGGAAAAAATGTTGAAAAAGAAACCACATTTTAGGGAGTTTTTAACTAAACCATGAGTACTATAATCACATTCTCTTATAAAACTACTAAGACTAGGCTGAGAGAGAAGTAAAGAGGATGGATCTTGAACCAGGCTGGAATTACTGCTACAGTACATCTGTAAGTGTGTCAGGGCCGTGAATGGGCTGCCCTAACCTGATACTCTCCTTTAACCTCCGTACCAGCACCTATTGACAGCCCTGCCTTTCAGCCAGGCTGGGACCAAACAATACCAGTCCTAATGTACAACAAAGTGCTCTCTTCTCTTCATGTCAGCAGGGTGATGGGATGGTGTTGATGTCACAGAAGGAGGGAAAGAGTGATGGTTCCCTGATGCTGCAGGGACTCAGGGCTTTTCTCAGGGAAATGTGGACCTGAAGCCCACGCACCTGGCTCACGAACAGCTTCAGACCTCTTGAAACGCACTGACTTGTCAGCTGGGGGTTTCGGTAACCATTTAATCAGACTGATAGGACTGGACTGACAGCTCCACCCTGCCATTGCTCACTAACTGAAGTTCCACGCAATCTAAGGTCTTCAGCTACACCACTTGCAAGAAGCATATTTGCTTGAATGTACAGCATCCATAAAATGGCCCTAGTCATTTTGCTGTATGTGAACAATCATAAACTCTGCATATACAACTGAAATGCTGAAGAGCACCTTGACAGGTGAACTGAGTTTCAATAAAAGATTGTTCTTTGGTACAGTATTTTTGTGAAATTTAACGATGCATTTTTCCTGTGCTGTTGAAAGTAAAGGTTCACTGAGAATCATTTTGGTGATCTGTAGATGTTTTTTTTATTTTAATGTATTTTTGGAATTGGTATAGAGTAGGTAGAGCTCAGCTAGACATAGCTGTCTCATCAATTGATTTTTAAGGAGATTTTCCAAATTTATACAAATGGGCTCAATGTGCTTTGATATTTTTTTTGGCATAGGGCTCTGCAATGTATGTATGTATCTAATGTTTTAAATAATCTCAGCTGCACCTTATCGACATAATGAGTTTATGGGTTTTCTTTATTGAAGTTACTTTTATTATCTTATTTCTCACAGTTCACTTCCATCTCTCACATTTGTTTGAATCTTTTGCTGAAATACTCTACTGATTCTGCAGTAGGCTGACAGTATCCAGCCAGGTTGCAGCTGACTGTGCTGTCTGAAACTTAAGACTGGCACTGAAGGCCACAGCAGAAAAGCTCAGTGAGCTCTGGGAGCCAGTTCTATCCTGCAGCGAGGTCGTTACAGACAATGGATATTACGATGTAGGTTACAAATAGGATGATTAGCTTAAGTGGAAAACAACAGGAAAATGTTTCATCCAGACAATGATATTTTAAACTCCAGTGACACTGACACCTTTTGGCAGGGCCAGAGCCTGTTATTCTATACAGCAGACACTGGTAAGTTATCCTGCCCTGTATTTTGGCTGTAAAAGATGTGTACAATGGAGGGCCATTTGATCCCACTCTTAGCTACCTTCCAATAACGGCTTCACTGAGGGCATGAACTGTAATTATGTTAAGAGAGAATCAAACTGTGACGTCTTTCTTTTCCTGCGACAGGGATGTCATTTCAAATTAATTAGCTTTTAACTCTCTTTGCAAATTAAATGATAAACTATACCATTAAGAGCAAAAGTGTATAATCCTTATCAGATCCTTCTGATCAGTGACTTAAAAAAAATGCTTAGAAGAAAGATTAGATATTCATTAGGTATGCTCAGAGCTACAGCTCTGAGTAACTTGCACTTCAAAGGGTTGAAATACTAAAAAATGTAAACTGAGTAATGCTGTTTTAAACAGCAGTGTAGCCTTTCATTAGGATATGTTTTTTTTTATTTCTAATCAATCCAAAATCCCATAATGAAATATTTTAACATAGTAATATTTATATCGTATTCACTCAAGACTGTGCCAAAAGCTTTCTTCTTATACTCAAAGAGAACATCAGGTACTGGGTTTGTCATCACTGCAATGTTAAAGCCTGGGCTATGCACTCCTGCAGCAGGACATCTAGGCTTAACAAAACCCAGATGCTCCAGACTCTCTGGATCCAGACTGAAGAGCAGCAGAGGACCATGCTAGGAGCACCACGGACTCATGGGAAACCAGCAGCACGATACTCACCTGATGACCATGTTGCAGTGCCCACACATGGGGGTCCGCTTTCCTGCTGGGATGTGCTCAGCCCTCTGCACCAGGGTGTCCTCATCTGTGGGGTGAGGCTGGGGGGCAGAACAGACGGCTGCCGGGGCCACTGGAGCCTTGGGGGTGCTGTTGGTCATGTGCCCAAATGCTGGGGCCACATGGCCAGTATTTGGAGTGGCCTTAGGGAAGCTTGATGCTACAGAAAAGGAGCATAGAGGATAAAACATGACTTAAAAAAAAAATTAATCCAAAATCACAGAGGCGCTTCCTACTCTCAATAACAACTTATTTTTATCTTATGATAGCTTTAATTTTAGCTTGAAAATGAGTAATTTGATTTGGAAAACAGGAAGGATCACTTCTGCTTTCTGTGTTGCACTTTGAAATACAAACTACTTTCACTTATTATCAGAACTTTCACTCACTATTAGACGTTCAGGTTGTTTGCTTCAGTAAATTTCAGTTTCTCATGTCTTTTATTCAATGCAAAAAGTCCTTAAAATGCAATTTTTCTCCTGTTAAGGAGTGAAGGGTCTGAGAAAGACGTAAACACCTGCACTTCAATCGTCCCACCCAAGAGCAGCAGCCAGTACAGACTTGGCACTGTGACAGCCGTGGAACCATCATCTGATGAGGAACCAGGGAACCAGTGAGAATGCAGGCAGGGTGTGAAGATGAATTAGGTTTTGTTAAATTACCTCTCACTTTAACAGCCAGTTTTTGTGAATAATACAGAATAATCAATAATAGTCCGCATGGTCATTCTGGACTTTCCCCGTGGTCTTATAAGGCACTATTCTCTCTATAGATGTGCACCATAATGTCTCATACAGCTGCATGCTTTACTATATTTTGACCATGTCAGCTTCTGAGTCACCCTGCAGTAATCAGATCCAACTATGACATACCATTGTAAATGTCTGTAAGGACAGGGCTAGGGTTTTAGTAGAGATGAGGGGATACGTCTCGAGTTTTGAGTACTAGCAGCAGCCATATCACCCTGCAACTCACAGCTGGCAACCCACTGAAGCTAAGCAGGTGTGAGCCTGGTCAGTACCTGGATGGGAGACCTCCTGGGAAACACTGAGGTTGCTGCTGGAAGAGGTGTTAGTGGGGCCAGCAGGAGGTGTTAACCCTGTGCCCCAGTATAGTGACAGGGGACATGATACTGTAAGAAGGCGCCGTCCTTCGGATGAGAATTAAAATCAAGGTCCTGACTCATTAAAAATAATTAAATATCCCAGGGTGTTTCTCGAAAATGGTAGGGGTGTAACCCCGGCGTCCTGGCCAAATTTCCCACTGGCCTCTGCCAATCATGGTCTCCTAATAATCTCCAGTGAATGAAGCTATGTGTTTAAGGATCACGTAAGAGCAATGTCATTATGTCAAAGTGGACTCTGGAGTCCGTGCCCCATCATTCTGCTTTACTACACTTTCCTCTGTGAAGATTCTGGAATATTTGAAAGCCCTTCATTTACTTTATATTTAACCGCCTTACTTCCTGCATCATCATTCACGATTTTGAAGCAAATATTTGATGGGGTTTGGGTTCCACAATCCATTGGCTCACAGGTTAGTCAGCCTCATGGATATATGTATGTTTGCATCAGGTCTGAAGAAGTCAGCGCACTTGTGCAGCACCTGCACCAGCAGCAGTTCGCCGGCCTCTAGACAATGCACGAGAAGCAGTGAAAGCAATATTTTTGGACTGATTGAATTAATCAAACATTCCTTGGACATGACACAGAGACAACTTCTAACGTGCAGAAACTTCATTTCCTTTCACAAGTATTCTTTCATTTGAGTTGCATTTAACAGATGCTGCTTAATTTCAGTGCTTCTGAATTTCCAAGCATGCTGTACACGACAGGCTTGTTAAGAGGATGAAATGCTAAGGGACACATCTTTCCCCTGTCCACTGTCAGAAAGATGCATGTTCCTGGTCAGGGTGGCAGCAGCCTGTCTCGGAAGCTCAGGGATTTGTGAAGAATCCGGAACACCCAGAGAGGACACGCAAGCATGGGGAGCTTGCAAACCCGACCCAGACGACGCCCTCATGTAAAACCCAGGACCCAGGAGCCATGAGGCTGTGTCACTGACAAACACTCTTCCCTAAAATAACTAATCTAATCCCAGAATTCCCACACCTGCCAGAATCCAAACAGCTTCCAAACCTGCTGGGGGAAGGGGGGAGGAACACAATAGAGCTGCAGCCCATTATGTGATCTCCTGTCACAGCCTGGGAGTCAGCCTCTCGAATACTATGTTTTTGTTCTAAATGTCTGTACACGTCTTACTAATTGTCACTTCTTTGGCAACACTGTAATTCATTGGTCCTGCCAAAAATGCTTGTTTAAATTGAAAAGCATAATAATTAGCTGTTAGAAAATATACAACACAGTCAAACAGACTTTGTGAAATCCACACCAAAAATAAGCAAAGGGCAGAAAATGAGAGGAAACCTTTCCACTCATTTGGCTCCTACACATTTTTCCTTCTCCAATCTCCATGTTTTCATCATTAAGCCATCCACTGACAAACTAGCAGAAGGCATTTTTTTCCTAAACCTCCAGGCCTATCCTTCTTCAAATATACAGCAACTGGTAATCTGGTTTCAAATACAGCATGCCAACACTCACTGTACACACTGTACTTACACAAACCTTTATTTATGTGTTTTTACTAAAACAATTTTCACATTTTTCCCCAAGAGAAGCTATTTGGCCCACAATGCCATAAAAGCTGGTGAGACTGCCGGGAATGGAGCGTGTGCAACTGTGATCTATAGCCCTTCCCTACAAGCCATAAGCACCTCGCAGGCTGCCCAACAAGTGCCTTGGAAGGCTAACCTCAGCCATTGAGCGCTAAACCTGCAGGCTACGAGCTGTGTGCCACCTGGTGCCGTGTGGGCCTTCCAAAGAAGCCCTCCTTTGTTGCCTTGGGTTACTGGGCAGCTGTACCCATAATAAACTGCATCTGCGGTGCTGTGTCAGCATCCAGCTCTTTAGGGTTCTCCCGAGGCCCCACTTATACTGTTAGGAAAACACTGTTCGTTTCACCAGACTCTCCTCCTCGTCTATACGACAGCTAGTCTCAGACAACAGGGCCAATCTGGCAGGGGCAGGGCAACAGCCACAAATCTCAATTATAAGACCACAAAGGTCTTTTAAAAAATATTTATCTTAAAGCATTGCCCATACTTATGCCAGAAAAACTAAGGTGGGCCTAACGTATGAGTTTTTTTTTTGCATTTTAAAAGTATATCTTGTATGTTTCTTTGGAGAAAGGCTGCATTTTTAAAGCTAGGATTCTGGAGAGTTGAACAGCCACAAAATATTTCACAACCTGTTGGTTAAGGAATGGAAAAAATAACTTTCCATCATTAGTTTGCTTTTTACTATTACAGCTTTACGATCAGAAATCCCGCTACACAAAGTCTTCATCTTCAGGACAAAAGAGACATGCTCTTCACATGCCAAGTACTGAAACTGGCTAATTAAAAGCCATAAAAATAATGCAACAGTCTTGGTGTGAAAGCATGCAAGTGCACTCAACAGAAATCCCAAGCCACGTTCCTCAAATCACTCTGCAATCAAAGGACAAGAAACTGCACACAAGGCCAGCAGGTACAGGATATCAATCAATTTTCGAAATTCAGTGGTATCTTCACTTCATGCAAGTAAATAATTACAATATATAATTACAAAACAGTACTTCAAACATGTACAAAAATCTGCAACACACATCTGCTAACAAAAGCAGACTGAAGAACATACGAAGGCTTGTGTACTGAGGTGGAAATGACCAAGCAAACCAGTGATATTTCTTGAGATTGGAAGTGCTCCGCACTGCTGGCTACAACAAACTGAATCTTGCGTCACACAACTGGAGGGCACAACCTGCAACGGATCCCTGTAATACAACCCCCTCTGTTTTCCCTCAGTACACAGCTCAGCGGGCCGTTCAGTACTTAATAAGATACAAATGGGCAGCTCGTTCCACTGCTCTCCTCTACACAGACAAGGAACAATAAGGAGAGCCTTTGCAGAAGCTACTCGTAAGAAAACACTCTTCAAATGCAATAATACAATACAATAACAGTTTTTTTTTTCACTAGTAGTAAAAACTAATTTATTGTACATTGGACAATTGCGTGGAAAAAGAATCATTTTCCAGGTCAAGTCTGAGCTTGAATCCCAGAATTTTCTTTGTTCTTCCAATAATATTTTCTAAGAATACGGTGCAACTACTTTTTTAATTCCACATTAGAATATATAACACCATTTACAGAGCTCCCACAGAGGCTCAAGGATATTTCAAGAGTTTTCCAGGATATAGTCCCAGGTACAGCATTCTTCAGAAACATCAGACCTCATAACAAATTAATACACTTTTCACTTTTCAGTCCATCTTCTTCTCTTCCTCCTTCTTCTGATAATTGGCATTTTACAGCACATTTCATTCAAAATGATCTCAAAGCTCTTCACATACAAGAGGGGATGCACTTTTTCTACCAGTGAAGTGAAAAACCATCTTGGTTAATGCAAGGCATCTACAGTATTATACTGTACATCAACAGACCCTCTACACAGCAGAAATTGCAGAAATTCACAATACGAAATTGCTTCATCCCTGTACTGACCAGGTTTTCAGCCTCTCAGATTTGACAAGATCAGATGAAAAGATCAGTGTTTAAATCTAGTAATTTTTGTGCATCTCAAACAAACTTTGAAAAGTGGAAAAGTCTACATTTGGGTAGCTCTGGTCTGTCTGGTGGTATGGAAGTGAAGCTTAATACCAGAAATATTAATTGCAAACATAGTTCATGTTTTTAATACTCAATTTCTCAATGACATTTATTGTACGTGTAAAGGTTTTTATAAACATGAAACAGAACAATTTCACATAATAGAAAAAACAATCTCTGAAAGTAATTTGTAAGTATAATTTTTATCCTTTTTTCAAGGCCTGGAAACAAGATTTTCATTTTTTTTCCAGGATGCACTGGACATCTGATTCTGATGCAAGAGGTCTGATAAAATATCTAACATGTCATCAGGGTAAAATAATCAATCGGCTTCTTGTATGAATGCAGAACTGACAGGACAATCACTGGCAGAGAGAATGTATTGTGCAAGACTTCTCTGACCTGACGCCTTAATATATCTGATTTTCACACATCTTCACATGAAAATATCCAAATTGCAAAGAAACTGTTCCAATATGAAAAACTTTAATTTTTAAGACAGTTTTTAATTATTTTAATTGAATTTCAAATCTGTTACTAATTACACCAATATTGTCAAAAATCAGGTGGTACAGAGGGGCAAAGTTATGAACAGAAACTATCAAACAAATTCTCAACTGAAGACTTATCTTAGTTCAGATGGGTTGTGCCCTCTAGACCAGGCATGACTGAAATCATTTAAAAAATGTTCACAGCTGAAATTTTGTTTAATTTGAAATTTTCACATATGGTGTTTAAGTAAACTCGGCAGTTTCTTGTCACAAATGGACAAAAAGAACAGTTACAGGACAACAGCCTGGTGAGGACTCCTGCAGCACTGCCCAGACTGAATCACACATTGTGCAGACCTAGTTTGTGCTGCCACCAGCTGGCCGTTTATAAGAACTACAACCTGCTAAATACGGTCACTTACTGTAGGCCCCTTGTCCTGAAACAACTGCACGAGCATTACACAGTAAGCAGGGGAAATTAACTGCCAAAATTGGTGTATTCTAACACAACAAAAACTGAAATTGTAGTTTCCAGTAACTTTATCTTTTTCTTATGTGTAACTACAGTATTTATTTTAACCTGCAAAGGAAAAGGGACTGGTAGAGAGATGGAATAGGGATAATCTATAGATATAAAGTTAAATTCAGATACTGTATATTCCTTAATAATTTGTAAAATAATAAGGTCATACATCACATTTTCTTTCAATGTAAAATAGCAAAATTTGTAATAGTATGAGCGGATAATTATGCAAATTTCAACAGAACTGCGGTTAAAGTTGTTCCACTTATGGAAACTAGGCAAACTACAGAAAAAACACAACCTAAGCTACTGTAAATAAGACATAGAGAAGGATAATAAGAGCTGGCAGAAGGGAGAGAGTTTGTGAAATCAAGGGGATCTCAAATTCATCCGTTGACTGAGCACAGCAGCCGAAAGCTCGCAGCTCAGCCAACTGATTCACATGTTGTCCGGAGGTGATTAAAACAACATGTCAGAAACTGGAGAAAGCACTGTACCTCTGAAATCCCAGAAAATGAAAAACAGATGAACCTCTGGCAACAGGAGACGTCACACAGCATCAGCTCTGACCATCCCGAGCACCTCTATGAACTCACTTTCAGTGAAAGCTGTTTGGCCATGGACATCAGTCATGTTTAATTAGGGAAGTCCTCCCTTAATTTCAATTTGTGGGAATCTCTTTGGCCAGAAAGAAGATGGACAAAGTCTCGTTATTTCCCCCCTCTCTCTACATCTCTACAGATGTGTATATCTATACAATACCTATTACCTTACATATTAACATATGGACCAAGCTATACTAATCTTGCACATACTTTGTTAGGGATGATCGGATATGAAACACAGACCAGAGAGCACAAGTGGAAGCTACGTGGATATACAGTTTAATTCAAGAACATGAGGCTCCTCTTTACCCAAAGGCTTGTGGGAGTATGGGACAATCTACCCAGCCATGTAGCTGAAGCTGGTACTCTACTGTCTTTCAAGAAACAAGTTTCTTTCTTCTTTCTTTTAAAAAAATAGGTTAGATTGGCCAAAAGGCCTCCTCTCGTTTGCAACCTCTCTTATATTGTTTGGAACAAAGGGCTAAAGACTGAGTGAAAGCCTGGCACAGACCAGGGAGATGCTGTACCTGCTGCATGGCTGGTCTGCCAGCTTGTAGACTTGGCAGTGCCTGGGGCTGCTGAGGGTTTGAAGGCTGGCACAGAGCCCTGGCTGGAAGGCGGAGGTCTGGGGGCACTGCCTGGAGCCTTAGTCATGGTCTTCACAGCAGAGGTCACGTGAGAGCTGGGCTGGGCTGGTTCTGGTGCCTCACTGCAATGAAACACAAAAGCATAACACCCTGTTGGAGCCTGGACTGCACACCTGTATTTCACTGTCCACCCCCCTCCTGGACTGTATTGTTCTGTCCTTTAGCAGTAGAAGCCCACCACCACCACCACCACAGATGTGAGGCATCCCAACAGCCCTTCTCATTTTTCATTACCAATAACCCCCCCACTTTAAAATTTAAACATAGCAACTTCACATCCAAGAGGTCTTACTTACAGACATCTGTAAATGAGCAATTGATTAAGAACTGAAATCAGCACGTGTTTCAGCTTCAACAAAGTAGACAACTGACCTTCGTCTTCGAAAACAGGCAAGATTTCTTTCAGTATATATACTGTATATACAGTATGTGTACTTTATCTTTTCTGTCATCATGGATTGTTGAACTTATGTATTAAAAAAAACCCTGAAACTGCACAAAGAGCAGATCTTTCATCGTAATACACTTAACTTCTGAATTAAATGTATTAACTCCAGTTATAAGTGGTTGTACATACTTGCAATATGATACGTCTTTGACCCACATCATCCACTATTTAAATGCAAAGAAGGCCATTCCACAATATCACAGCCCTTTTGTTGATACCAGTGGATATTAATGGTCAATGCATTTAGACAAGAAGAGGTAAACTGTGCATTTACACAGTTCAGGTTACGGTAAAGGAAAACTTGTTTTAGACCTAAAAAACACCAAAGACTTCTGCAGTTTATCATTTTAAGCTTGTAGGACCTCCTTGAGTATCAGTTAACTTCACCTTGGACTGCAAGGGGATTGTTCCAGCAAACTGCCTCTTCAGTCAGTGCTGGAGGCAGTAAGATGAGCAAAGCTGATGCTGCTCAAACAGAGACTAAGGTTATACTATGGAGTCTGGCTGACTAACAAGTGATCTTTTATTCAGATGTGAATGGTGCCTTTCATGTGAAAAACAGAGTCAAGCAACAAGCAAGGGGCGTATTATATAGTGTTTGCCCACAGCGCGATTTTTCCACAGATAAATCTTCTGCTCAGGGCCTGTCACAGGTTCGGGGCTAAATCCACAGTGTGCACAGAGGGCAGCCTGTCCGCACTCCAGACACTAGATACAGCAACCAATAAAACTCACAGAGCATGTGGAAGCAAATGGCAAGAGCAGAGATACATTTTCTGTCATTTTCTGTGCAAAGGAAAAAATAAAACCACTGTATAGAATTAATGGAATGCTGCAGGTTTTCAACATTGGTACAGCCCAAACAGTGCTTTAACTACTGGATCATGAAAATACAATTTAACAGCTTGAAAGATATTCACAGTGTTCAGGAAAGCTTTGCATCTGTACAGAACACTCTTACTAATATTATTATCAACAGGCACATTCATTGGAAAGTTAACTTTTTCAGTCTAACACTGATTAAAGAATTGATTAAAGAAGTGCACTGTCTCACCTGGACTGCACAGTGAGGCACTTGGCTGGGCCAAATCCCTTCTGCCCCTGGAATGTATTAAGTCCCTTTGTTTTCTCACACACAGAACAATTACATTGAATACACAACTTCAACAGTGATTGATATGGCGAATAAGCTAAGGCACATTCCCATTGAAGATCCACTGATATGGTCACCACAAATATGGGAGAAAGATCATATAGTGTCACCATAGACGCTGCCTATAGAAATTGATTAATTAAGCAAGTGATATTCTGAAGATAAAGAATAAAAGAAGAAAAAAGAGAAAATTAGAAACAAAGCAGAAAAACCTTACAGAGGCTTAAGGCAGAGTCTGGAGTCCTCATGTCTGAAGGCAAGCTGTGCCACAAGCTGACCATTACCCAGAATGCTCAGGGTGTGGATTTGTGGTAGAGCTAACATGGCCAAGTGTCTTCAGGAAGACAAAGCAGCCCCATCTGTAAGGACCCTTGACTTGAAACACAAAAAGTATTCCAGATGCTGGCCTTGTGCCAGTGTGTCTGCTTGGCATCAATGACAGATGATGCTTTTCTTCCATTCTTAAACTTGGAACTGCAACTCGGTAGTTTCTGTATCACAACCACTGTGCAGAAGAATGGAGCTGGGTTCATAAAAGACACACCAGCCAAACAGTGTGTGCTGCCTGTTTTCTGAGGCACTTGGAACATGCCAAGGAACTATTTCCAAATACATTTGAAAAGAGGTTAAATTTCTCATCCTCCTCTGTTTACATTGTCTTATGAGATTCTATGCAAGTCTCATCACATATAGTAAAATATTCAAAGCAGTCTCAGGTCTACTGTAATATAGATCATGCATTATTCAGCTTTCTGTAGATACTGTACGTATTTTAGACTTTCACAGAATAATTTTCTCCTATATCTTTGTTGCACCTCTGAGGTAGCAATCTAGTTTAAAAACATTGTTGAGATTGGATTAGATCATATTAAGCAAGATTTGAAGTGCAAACATCATAAGTAACATTTTGCTGTGAGAAAATAAGACTAGCTGGAGTGTGCAGCTAGCCTTTTGAAAAAACCTACATTTGGACCAGATTACATCAAAATTGGATCTGCCAGTTAATGGTGAATTACAAACCCAGCTCATCACTGTAGTTTTCCATTGGTAAGGAGCAAAAAATAACCCACCAAGCGAAAAAGACAACATGAAGTGCTGGGCTTGTATTTCACGAGCACTGAGAGAGTTTGTTTTCATCGAGAATCGGGGCTCAGATAAAGGGAGCCACCTCTCCTCCAGAGAAAGCCAGAGGGGACCCAGACAATTTCATAGTACTGCCGCATGTCTCTGCTGGCGTCCACCACAGAGGTCTGGGACAGTTTGCTATGGTTACTTTTGCTGTAGTAACAGAAAGGGAGCTTAGCGTGAGACGGTGCACTTGTGCTCCTGGTCTCTGGCCAGCAGAGCTGGTTTCCAGCTGCTCTCCTGTGACAGAGCTCCTTATTCAACGACTTCAAATCAGCCACCGCCAGCTCACCGTCCGCGCTTCCAGCCATGAGAAAGCTTTCAAAACAAACAAAAAATGACTACTGTGCCACAATTTTTTAAGCCTGAGGCTTAAGACGTTGGCAAAAGCCAAAATGCCTGAAAGCCTCAGAGAAACCAAGGCAACCTCAGGTTGACTTAAATTTATGAGAGACAATTCAGACCCACAAACCAGGAATAATTCTGGTTTCTCTCGGTTGTATTCCCTCAAGTGCAGCATTGTATGCTTTGTAGTGTGGTGACCAATACTGAATGCCATATTGCAAGAGAGATCTAATTAAGGCAATGTGTAATGTTCTGTTTAGGTGGCCAGTCCATTAACACCATTACACAGGGCTATTCTCATCCAGATCACATTCCGTAAGACAAAGTTTTGTTTTTAAAAAAAATCAAACAACAAGAAGGACATTTAATGTTATTTTACAGCAGCCAGTGATCTCTTCAGTTTTCTTTCATTCCATTTCATCCTAATATACACTTATTAGTGAGAAAGAAAAAGCTCACACAGGTAACATTTCTGCAGCTGGGGAATTAGAGTCCTGAAACCTCAGATGTTTTAACAATTCCACATTTGGAGAAAATGTGCCCAGAGACCATGGCTGCCAAAGCAGACACAACAACTCAACATTAAATCTGTATATTATACTACACAAGTACAACGAACAGGGTGAAAGTTAAAAAGGTAAAGACACTCAGTCCAGGGCAGACAGGAGCAGCAGGCCTTTCCCTTCCAGCATTTCACAGAGAAGCACAAAAAGACACACAGGATCAGTAAGAGCAGAAATAATTACCTAGAAGACAAAGGGCTGGCAGAAAGGCTCACAGTGGAGAGAGGTGGGAGAGTCAGGGCAGCAGAGACTGACTGATGCCAGGAGACACTTAGAGAAAGAAAAACAGTAAAGAGCAGGAAAGCAAGACAAGTGACATTTGCAACAGAACTGGTACAGTATGCTGGTTAAATAATAAAGGATTATGCATATGGTACATATACACAGCAATGGCCATCAATATTCACAGGACCATTAATATGTAAAAATAACAAGTAACATACAGTAACCTTTTTAGTAGTCCCTCTCTCTATTTAGGACCCCCCACCAGGAATTTCATTAATAAAGGCAATCATGGAAAAGTGGATTTGATTAAAACTCTTCAGAGTTTAGTTATGAAACTGAAATTACGAGTGGTAACAATCCAACCAAGAAAATACAGTCCAGCTGCAATTTTGTATCTCATCTATACTGTATGGCCCCATATGCAAGACGGAAATGACTAGCTAGCTGGAGAACAGGACCCAGCTGCAGCAGCTGCTGAAAACCTCCAGTGATGCTCAGAGCTCTCTGTCATTCGTTACAGTTAACTGGGTGCATCGTCCTCCACCCGCCATGCGGGAGATCCAACTGCAGTTTAAATTCCTCACTGCCTAGTTCCAGCGCCACTCCCTCTGGCCCACTGGGAAGATGGGGAGGCTGTGCAGCTGAAGATCTCCACGAGTTGAGTCCCAAAGTGCATATTTAATTCTGCTCCCCGATCACTCCCCTCAGATCCAGCTCAAAGCAGCAGCTGTGCAGACTCTAACCTCACAGCGGCTCCTTTCGTCTGCAGGGCCGCAGAGAGCGGAGCTGGGGTGGAGCAACATTGGCCATCAGATGAAAAACCAGACCCACCCCTTTGTATCAAAGGAGATGGCGGATCGGAAGGCTGGAGGAGCTATGGATTGTTCAGTGCTTCTTTTTGCCTTTCAGGACAAACCCCATTATGAAAGTCTGCCTGATGTTTGAAAGAACATCAGTTCTGAAAATATGGACTAAGCACTTCGGCTCGCTCTCTGTGATCACTTCCCTGAAGCACACATAATTTAATGATGCTGGACAGAAAAGTGACACCAGGGTTACAGAATAGCACAGCTGGCATAGTGCAAGTCTGATATGAAATCCAGAACTCCCCATTTGTGCTCTCAATCTCCTCCAGTCTGGACTTTTAGTGTCACAGTACTTTTCAATCAGGAATGTGGAGTACCAACTTTTAAAGTTTAGACACTAGTCTCAGTGAGATTTCACTCAATGTCTTGTATTTTAATACAGTGTGTTGGATAGCGAGCACTTATAAACTTAAGATACATTAGGAAATACTAAGTACAGCAAAACAGATATACTGCCTCTACTTAGTACTCCAATCCATTTGAGCTTTGGTAATTTTTTATACAGCCTAAGCCACCACAAGGTGCTGGACATTGCACATGTATCAACTTATGAATGCATTCAACAAAATTACTTAAAATGAGATCTACTATCTACTGCTGTATAATGAGACTTTTTGAACTTTCCATGAAGTATGCAAAATTACAATAACTTTCTGGCATTAAGACCAACAAACCAAAGTTTGATTTATCATTTTGAGATTCCAGAAAAAAGTAATTCTGTCCCTGGACTTCCTCACCAAGCTGTGCTACTTAGGCATTAGAGTGAAAGACTGATTCCGGCTGTACTGCAGCGCTTGATCGTCTTCCAAGTTCTAGAAGACTTTTGTCTGCTGTGCTCTGATGAAGCAGAAAAAGGACATATCTGATATTATCTTATCTTCATGCCCTTTAAACAAATTTACTCAATTTATATTCCAGTGTTAGCAAGCTTAAATTACTTAAATTTCAATTAGAATAGACATTAATGCATCTGAAATAAACCATATCTAACAACAAGCACAGATTTATACTGTATAAGAGCTTGCAGCTGAATCAAACTGCTATACAATGGGACTACAGGGTTAACCTTGTGAGAATGGATGCCAATTGTTGATTGGGAAGCAGAAAACACAAGACAATAAGCACATTTGATAAAAATTCTTAAAGAAATGAATGCACCCATTCTGTAAGTAGTGTCTGTCTAAGTACTACGGGCCCTCTATAGTGTTTCACACAGTCAAGTCTGTCTAGGAAGTTGATAAAAACTTTTCTCAAATGATACTTTGCCTCCCTACAAAGATGAGTAGTTTCTTTGAGAGAGTCCCACTTGAAATTGGTAGCAGATCCCTCAACATGGAAAAAAAAAAAGAGGGATGCTTTCCAAACGGCTTTCGAACGGGTCCCAGCAGCAGGTGGGAAGCGGCCTCTTGCGGGATGAACGGCTCTTGCGCTCAGAAGAGCCCTTCCATTTGCCAGGCTGTTTGAACTGCAGTCACGCCAGCGCCAAGTTATTTCAATTTAATCATAGCTAACGCACAACGTAATTGCAGAGATGTGGCGCAGCTGTTGCCAGGCATGCTGCTCAAAGCCAGTTGGTGCTCCAATGTGAGCCCCTCAGCCACTGTCATGCAGGTGTCTACATCTTGTTAATGGCATCAGGCCAGCCAGGCATCAGTGATATGAGCAGAAGAAATATTTCCATGGCTAGGAGGCACAGGCCCCCCAAAGCCCTGGGTTTGCAGTGATGGTCCATACACAGACTTTCACAGAAACCCTTAAGAAGACAGCACTTTCTGCAATATGGGATGAACGCTTACAGATGCTCTGAACTTCCAAAGAAAGCACACTCAGAAATGTCATCACCCTTCATCGAACCAGTTCTGTGCCTTGAGCCTAGAAGCCCCGTGCAAATTTCCGATTACATACATGATTGCTACAGTTTTCTGCAGTGTTGACCATTCATAAGCGTTTTAAGACAATGTGATAATTAATTGCAAATGAATGTTTTAAAGGGTTTCAAAGGAAACAGCATGTTAAACTAAGTGGCTTATTAATAAAACATGATGATCGTTAAATACGTCCCTTTGGCAAACAGAATACGAAGAACCTCACTCAGACATTGTTTTACAGCTCAATGATCCATTTAAACAAAGACTGAAAATCTAATCAAAATACTGAAAACATTACAGTCTTTATGCTCAGCTCATGCAAGCAGAGAAGAAAACCAGTGAACAATAGATGAGTCCTTGGCACTTTAAAGGTCGCTTTCCTGCTACACAATATTTGTGTTGCACACAGTCAAAAAAGGACGTCTTTAAGAATTGTAAAACTAATGCAAATATTAAACTTTAAACATACCATAAACGTGGTCCATAACTTACAACTTCTGCTTTCAAATGCAAAGCTCATTGATGTACACAGGTAAGATACTAAAAATGGTGTTTTAAGTGTCTGCAAAGGTGCAACAAATGGAGAAAAGACATGATTCTTAACATCTTTTGTCTGCTCATTTGAACAAATAAGGGAATTTAGTTAATGACACTTCTGAGCGACTGAAAAAAACATGGTAACCATGTAACACACGGTTACAACAACAAACAGAATAAATTCATTTTTGGACACTGCTCCTAATAGTCTTCATGAAGAATTAGATTTGCAGTGTTTGCTGTGACTGATAAACTGTAACTGTTTGCAGGTGTTGGGTTTTCACGCAAGTATTTGGTCCTTATTTTGTCCTTTGTACTGTATTATAGAAGATGATTATATTTAATTTGATGCAGTGATTAGCAATAATAGAGGGATGACAACTCCAAAAAATATTCTCTAAAAAGGAAAATTATCCTAAATGGATTACATGAAGGATCTATTTATGTGCCCTTGTAAAACAGTTTTTTTAATTAAAGTCACAGCTAATTGATATTAGAGTAAACAACATTTTTTTCTGATTTCCATAAATCAGTTTTCTATTAGTATTCCATTAAACATTTCATGTGTAATCAATTCATGCATTAGCATTTTTGTATTAAAAATAAATTATTCTGAGTTACTGTATGACTGTATGTTACAAAAGGTAAAGTGTTGTTTTGAGCTTTGCAGTAGCCTATGTTTTATCCCTTTTGGTATAAAACACTTTGCCTGCACTGTGATGTATATTTCTGTTATCGGTAAAGGTCTTTATGCGATATTTATTTTTACATTTGACATTCTGGACAAGCTTGTTTAGCGCTTTTCGTACTTGAATGAGAAAAAAGTCCATGAGAACGGTCCATTATGTCTCTCATTCAGCGCTATATTTTAAATTCCCTTTTCAATGAACTTGTGAACTGTCAGATGGGTTTTCCTTGTCTGTTGTGGTTTGGCCCACTGTTATGCATTTTGAAAGCACCATGCTTGCCATACTGAAATCAAATGTGTGTGAGCTCACAGGTGTGAGGCCATACTGTCCTGCACAAACGACACAAATGCTACTTTGGTTAACCAGTATAGACGGCAAATTAAAATCCACAGCGTTTTCAAAACACTTTGAACAAACCTGTGAAGAAACGGTGCTAATGTACTGCATATTGGCAAAGCAAAAGAGAAACATTCTAAGACCTAGTTAGAAACAGGGCAGTAGTTTCAAAGGGTCCTGTCCAATACCTCTTGTTCTTCTGCAAGTACAAGGCACTGGTAGTTCTCCTTTTATCTTTTGTGCGCTGCAGAGGAGGGGGCCTAGAGACAGGTGTGATGAGGAGAGCGTCCAGCAGAGAGGGCGATAGCACAGGCCCCGAGAGTCTGAAGAGAAAGTTCAAGGCATTCACAGGAAGAAAGGGAAATGCACGAAAAGAGACTGAGATGAGGAGCTGAGGCACGGCAGAGGATATGAGAAAAGCAGTGCTTAGTAGCCTAGTAAACTTTCCTTGACATGTTAAGATTTTTCCTCTTCTGAAGGTGAAACATCTGAAGCCTCTGAACATTTTTGTAAAACTCAGTGGCACACAATCACATAGGCACAAATAAGCTGAACTGGGAAATAGCCAGGCAAGGTGAGGTTAGTATTTATGAGGCCTGCATCCACTTGCACAAGATTAATGCAGCTTGGTATTAATGACAAAGCCAGGAGTAGGGATATCGGTGTTGCACATTGTAAGGAATATCAGCAAGAGGGGACTGAAAGAGCTGTGACAGCACGTTGGGAGATGTGCTACTGTTTCAAGGAACCTTGCTACTGAACATGCTCTCCAAATCAGTGTGACTGTCACTCACAGAAGGGGCAGTTTCTCTACCTAGCTTGAGTGCGGACAGCGGCAGAAATCGTGGCAGCTGCTCCGTGGGCCTGGGAACTCAGGCTCATGGGAGGTGGGCAGGGAGCTCTCCTGGGAAGAGCTTCTAAAGGGTTGGACAGCAACTCCTTCCTAGAGCAGAACCCGGACAGGACAGGACAGGCAAAAACAAAGATCAATCTGGGTAATTCTGTGCAACTGCCAGGATTTATTTCAAATGCACCTACAGTATTTTACTCCAAGTGAGTACAGACAATTGAAACAATGGGTGTTGTTTGAAAACAAAGTCCAAAATTACCATCAAATAAAAAAGGAAAATCTCAAATTAAAATATAAAATATTGGGAGACAACGTCCTTCCTTCTGTCTAAAATGTCATAAAAAACAGAACTAATGGAACTGTAAGTAGCTTTTGGATGTCACTCTCTCTTGCTTGGTTTCTCACAAGCGGTTATGAAGACTGAGGGCAGTCTGCACTGAAGCTGCACTGCTAGAATCTGAGTCCTCACATTTTGTGTATCATTAACCAATTAACCGAGTTTTTCAAAAACAGCCTGGACAGCTGTGGTTGCAGCTTCAGAAAAATTCAGGTATTTCTGAAGCCGATGGAACCCATGTGGCTCTTCACCTTCAAGGCTGTTTGATTGATTTGTATTTTCGCCAAAGCAAATTACTTTTGTACCCATTTAGGCAGTCTAATTGAAATTACTGACTAAAGGGAACAACAGTAGCATCCCACCTTTGAGTCAAACCCAAATCTTCCAGTCCTGAGGAGAGGGTACTGACCACTCCTCCACACGGAGCACCTCAACTGCTCATTGCATTGTTTTTCTTCTTATTCCACCCTCGGTATATAGACTATGTACTATATATAGACTATGTACAGTAACACCCATTTTGCAGAGGATATTAACATCTGATTGACATGGGAGAAGTTATACATTTAATTTCCCATGTACTGTTTGGCATGTTATGAGATGTCAAAGTAATCAGTCAAAACTGATTCTGACAGTAACATGAAATAAGGTTCCGTTTGTGACCAATTCTCCCCAAACCAGGCTGTTGACTAACCACCCAGACAGGACGGGTTATCGGGACACAGGGAGATTGCCTTTCACCTCGGGGTTTACCTCACAGGGCCTGGGGAGAGAACAGGCCTTGCTGCAGCTGTAACGGGACTTGTTTGTGTTGGAATAGACGCAGCAGAGCTGGAAGGAGAAAGGACAGAGGCGTCGTGTGAAGTCGGCAGTGACCAGGCTGGGTCAGCCGCAGGAATCTGGAGGCCCCTGCTCACCTTGTGCCAACCAGTAACAGCTACAGTACGTACTGTACAGCATTTAACATGAACACGGTGTTAGGATGCAAATAAAACTATTTACCGTTTTCATAATATCAGTGCTTGTTCCACAAGTGACTCAGTGCTTGTTCCACACAGTGTGGGACAAGAAAAAGAAAGTTATCTTCATTTTTGGATATAGTTTTTTTTTTCATTATGTGAACCTCATTTGCTTGACACAAAACTGTATAAAACTATTAGTATTTTCTTAATAAAATGTACTAATACAAAAGGCTGAAGGTTGAAGACACCAGTGCCACGGGTGCATGAGTGCACACAGCATGCTTTGTGATAAAAACAGTACCTCTGGGGGGCCGAGGGAGCGGAGCTCACAGATGGCAGCAATCCGGGAGCGGAACACAGCGCAGATAATTCGCAAGTCTGAGTCGACACTGAGCTTTTACTGCCACCTGCTGGTGAAGCAAGAGTACTGCCAGCACTAGCAAAGGAAGTAGACGTGCCTGGACAGATTTGAACTAAACTTGCACGTATGCCTGCAGTTCTTCGTGGGGAAAAATGAATAAGATCAAAAAGGACAAGGTTAAAAACATATTACAAGAATCTTAAACTGTAATCACACACAAATGATTTAAAATGTATCACTCAACAGTAAATTTAACAGATGTGAACTGCATGACTGAGAAGCAGACCTCTGTTATTTGATTATGATGGTATGCGTAATGCGATAAGGAAACTAACAAAAACACTTATATAATATAATCATTCGTTTTTGTTCTTGCTCCAAGAACCTCAAGCACATTTTACAGATAAATATATTTATTCCGCTGTTTGGCTGGCATTCACCGACTCGTCCCAATATACCAAACTACTGTATGTTCGACAGCACTTGAGAAAAAGGTTTGTTAATTTTCCTTTCCTCATATCCCAGCCCTGCCGTGAGCGAGCAGCCTGTCCGAGGAGGCAGTCGTGTTGACACCGAAGCCGCCTCGCCTCCATCCTGCTTTTCACGCAAATGCAGCGGCATGTCAGAAATAACAGGCGGTTCACGCTCATGCCTTCTGATGGTAAGCAAATGAGAAATCACACTAGACTACGGCTATTAACACTCAATTTGCTCATAATTCTGATTGCAATTAAAAAAACATGCGAGCTCTAATCTCTTCTGAATATCCTCAGTCTGAACTAGGAGAAGCAACAGTGAGAGAGCCCTGCTGTCAAACTCAGTCCTCCACAGAATCCGAGCGTGAAAACATTACCACGCCATCAGGCTGACATACTGTACAGCAGGAGAACGGTGTTTAATGTATAGCTGCCTGCAATTTAAAAATGCCATTTAGCAAGAGGTGACTACAACGTTTGCGGTGCAGATAAGGACAGCGAAAGTTCTGTTTATCTTTTTAATGAGTTTAATGCAAACTTAGGTAAAATGAAAAAAAAAAAAGGAATTCCGTGAACATTCCACTCCATTACAATACAGTATCTGGATTAATGACAGCCTGGCACCCCAGACACCAACCTGTATGTGGTCTCTTAATATTTATGTTTTGTTGTTTTCTAGGGGTGACATACTGTACAGTAGCAGAGGAGTGGTGAGACAGGAGGGTTTTGGGTAATTTGGCATGATGTCTGTTCACAGAGATGAGCCAATCTCTCACACTGGATTAGCCAATGATCTTGGTAGGGGGTGTTGAGACAGAATGGTCACCTTTATGGGACAAGGTATTCTGGAAAAGTTTATACCATGTGACAGGATTTCACTAAAGCTTGTTCACTGACAAACGTGAAATGTGCACAGTCCTATCATCGTCACGGTCATGGTAAGAGTAAGGGGCACAAGGGCAGGGTGAAAGGACTGTACTGCTCAGCTCTGACAAACACAAGAAAAATCAGTGCTGTCCAAAACATTGGCCAATGGGAACAGAAACAAAAAATGCTCTCTGATGTGAATTGCTCATGAAGGGGTTAGTATCTTCTCTCTAGAACCTTTAACGCACCCTCTATGATCTATGGGAAAGAGCAATTTGGGTAAACAGCATGCACCACTTTTTTTTAAAGAGTTTCTGAGATATCTGCAGTACTTGCAATGCATTTAGGGAAGCAATTATCTTCTCTTGAAATGTCTTCTGGGGTTTATGTACAGTAGTATTATATCTTGGAGCAAACCCATCTCACCTACTGTAAATTGTATGAGAAAAAGCTTAAACAGCCAAGCAATGCAGAAAGCTGTGGAGTTTTAAACCTGTCTCTAATCAAACCACATTTTGAAGATCTCTCACTTTCCAGAAGTCATTTTCCGGTGTCAGAGCTATTGAGTGTTGACAGAAAAAACACATACTACTTAGTTATTAACACCACAATCCTGATGACTTTCACAGTTTAAATGTATACATACACATGCAAATGAATCTAAACTGAATGCAATAGGTAGAAAACCAAACACATCTCTCCCAGGCTGAACTACAATGGGAAGCTACCTGTTTGAGACAGGAAGCATCCTGGACAGTGTAGCTATCTGACGAATCCCCTTAAGAACCCGTGTTACTGGAGGGGGGTGTGGAGCGCACTTGGGCAGAGCCTGCAGAGGATTGTCCAGGAACTGGAGTCTGAAGAGAAAAGGCATCAGGAGCAATAGGAAACATGGATGAAGCAGCCCAGCACAGATGGGATAGATGAGCTCCACACCAACACAGGGCAAACCCCTTCCCTTAAAAAGCCCAAGCTTCTTTTGAACGGCTGTCAGTTCAAAGGAAGAGTGACACTGATCGGTTACTTTGAATCCCCACAGCAGCCAGAGAGTCTGTGCTTATATAGTAGAAAGCCATATAATGAGGCTTATTGCACATGTACAATATGTGTCAATGATGAAATTGCCACAGCATATTTCACTTTACCAGTGGGAACAGCTAAAGGAAGTAGTTCACATTTCAATAAACAAATAACATTAATAAAGCTGTACCTATGGTGCTCCTTGTGATATCACAAATATGCCTTGAGGAGCACAAAGAATAACATCATGATCCCCACTATATTGCCTGTTTGTAAGACAACCAATACAAAGTCTCATGCTAGATAGGTAGTGTGAGCTTTTCTAAAGGTCAGTGCCCTACTTTATTCCATTCTAGTATAATATCTGCAGCTGTAGTCTTCAACTGAAGAGATAACACACAAGAGCAACATACACAAAACAGCATGCTCTTGATCTTATATACAGCAATATTACTATTGTTAATACTATTATCGTCACCATCGTTTCATTATTGAACTGACAAAATGTTTACAATACCTTTATCTTTAGAAAAGCATTCAAAAGTGATATTAGAAGCTTGAAAATAGAACAAAAAGTCATTCTAAAAATGCATTAGAAATTGCTCTCTACTGCTGAAGGAAGATAGCATTAGCATGCCTTAGGAATTGGCAACAGTAGATGCTCGGTCTTATCTTCTGAAATGTAAAGCTTAGAGCATTCAGCAGCTGTAGGAGCAGTGCAGCCAGACAGCAGTAAAAACTGGAGTCATCAGCCCCTAGACAGACCCCTCCAGCCTGTTTCTAATGCAACACATTGTGGGCATCCGTGTCCTCATTGTCAGGCAGATACGAAAGAGGAAAAATCAGACAGATTTCAGAAAGCTGATAAGCAGGTTCTCAGTGGTCTGCATCTCTACGTGAAACAGTGCTCTCTGACTACAATGGCTCTCTGGAGAAATCCTCGCTCCATAGCAGGATAGCAGTGGACACTCAAATGCTACTGCACTGCAGAAAGAAGTCTCAGTGAGTTGCTGACTAAGATTCTTACTGCTGCATGCTAGTGGGTACCTCTTAATGGGACATTTGTGCTTTACCTCACTGGAGAGCTGAAGAGGAGGAGGCCAGCTGGCTTTTGAGACAGGCTGCTGTCAGCTGCATTTTCAAGGGCCAGACTGCTTGTTGCTCCAGACACAGGACTGGACAGCAGCAAACAGGAAGACAATACAAAACAACCTTTGTTGTTACTGAGGGTGCATTCTTCAAAGCTGCCAACAAATTTGTGCCGGTAGACTAATGTAAAAACAAATACATGGTATAAATACTTAATATCCCTCCAAGCATTTCTATATAATAGCATTTTGTGCAGATTTGCCTCCAATTTTTTGTTTGAAAATTGACACTATACACTTTCCCCTGGGCCAGGAATTGGTAGGAGACAATAAAAGGCAAACATGCTCTGGGGCATCTAAGCTAAACACAAGGGAAAACAACAGAAATACATTATTTATATGCCAGGGGCTGGGCCGAGCAGTCTACATTACAATGACAAAGTAATGTCAATAAAGGAAAGGCAAAATGAATGTAATGAAGGCATGCTGTTTCCCATTTAATAACTAGTAATGGGACCTTTGCAGACCTAGACCATGGGAGAAGAATACTCTTAAGAGAAACGATACGCTTAAGAGCACGTTTTTCTGTACCTTGCCTTAACTTCTAGCAGAGCAGCTGGAGGCGCAGACAGGAGACAAGGCTCCTCAATGGTCTGTGTGCCGACATACTGTGTGTGAGCACCCGCAGAGGACATCTTGCCATCCAGGCCGTTCGAGAGCCGGAGAGCAAGATCAGCTCGGTCAACATCAGAGGGCTCTTCGACATGTACAAGGCTTTGCACAGACAAAGTCCACTACAGTAAAAATTACACTACCGACACTGGGACAGCAAAAACTTTTCTCTGTGGATCACAGGAAGCAGTGAGGTGATTAGGAGAGGGACACTCACACTGTGCTCAGAACTTACACCTAGGCAAAGTGAGGGTGGTGAGGGTGTGTTTCCTATCACAAATGAAAATTCAGTGTCTTCTGTCCTCTTAGGGTTAAAGGTCTTGTTGATTTAAACCAGTCTGTTAGAGAGCAGAGACGTGGAAAACAACCAACTACCAGGCTCACGGCCCTGCTGGGAATTTCTGACTACTAATTGTAATTTCTAATATTTGTTTTAGGCAGTTAACTATTTCCAGCTGAATTATTGTATGTTTATTTCTAGAAAGTAAAAGCCTCTTTCCAGGAAGATGGTGCCCATCTGAGATGAGTACCAGCTCCTGTGATGTTGCAGATGTTTTTTTTTTATCAGTGAGGATTTTATTTCAGATGGTAGTTCAGCAGACAGAACCAGGAATGTTTGCCAAGCACACTGAAGTGCCTTCAATGATAAATTTGTACATGGGCCATACAGTTAAGATAAGAAGGAATTACTGCAAAACACCATGACATTTCATTATGACAATATTATACAGTACGTTTGTAGCTTTAAACTACTGACTGTCTCAATTCTTTACTTATAGAACTCTTCTGTGTATGAGCGCTGTATGAATGGCTTTCCAGTTAACATGCTGAGCCACACTTCTGTTTACACTCAGTGTCAGAAAAATAGTCTATGATTTTCTTCATTAAGAAACAAATTGAATTAAAAAGCACTGGCCATCCATGCATGAAAAGGATTTGCAATTATTTAATTTACTATCAACCTTAAATGAAGTATTTCTACCCATTTCTATGAAAAACATTTTGATATATTTTCAGTTTCGGAAGTTGTCTATTTTTGAACAAACAGAAGGAGAAAAGCAAAGCTTCATTTTACATTGAATATTTTCATGTTGAAATCTTAAGAGCAGGTGCTTATGTACCTCAGAAAAGGTGAGAAATTCTTGTCAGAAAAGATGACAATCTTAAAAGGTCAAACGTGATGTTGATTTACAGTCTGTCACCAATAAAATGTGAGATTCAGAGAAAGAGACTTTGTTTTTTGAATAATTATTAAAAAATTGATACGCAGGCTACAGTATCTCAACCAACACCACATTCATATACCACAAAATCTTTAAAGGTGTAAAGGAAATGTACTCTGCATTGAAACAGTATGATACAATCTTCATTAAAACAGACAGCTGCAGCCTCAGTGCCCTCAGTGGCATCACGCAGAACAAGCACAAGAGGGTGTGACACTGACAGCACAAGCTGCAGTGCAGCGTGCCGAGACTGGGGGGTGTTACTGGGAGTGATGGGCCTGTGAAGTTACCTGACCGTTCCGCTGTCTGCGTTGAGCTCGCTGAAGGAGAAGTGACCACTAGGGGTCACAGGGAAAAGGGGAATGAGGTGCAGTGTGGAGCCATAAAAAAGAAAAGGATGAGACAGAATCAAAAGACAGAAGAACAGGAAGAGAGCTTCTGGGAACAAGAAAAACTTTATTTCATTCCCCAGCGTTTAATAGACAATAATCACTAGTATAGTACAATATATTACATGTGGGAAATTCAACCTTCAGTGTTATTAATTACTGGACAGCAGCATGCATCTGCAGCACATGGGACAACACTTTAAGGATGCAGCCCAGGAAGAGAGAGTAAAAAAAAACAAAATCAAAACAAAAAACTGTGCTTAAAAACCATTTCGCTTCTTCATTTACCAACAGGGCATCCTTCTCAGTTCTAGACCTTATGGAGTTTCTTTCCAACCGGACGCTCTCTATTGAAGTAGTACAGCAAGTGTAATTGTGTAATTAACTGGACACTATTTGTTATTTTTCAACCTCTTTCAAAGCTGAATTAAAATACACACCTGATTTAGGGCACAGTAGCTACACAATGCTTCACTGGCCTGCACAGACCAAGAGTTAAAACTTCTAGTCAATTAATTAATAATACGACTCATTGTGTCACCAAGGTTTCATGGTGGAACAGTAACAGAAAAACCCTGCAGTTCTTCGGGGAAGTGAGGTTGATACCCTATTTGACATCAGTCAAAACTTAACAAAAAGCAAATAATCAACTGTCCTTTACATCAGTACACACAGACATGCACATGCCTAATCGCTCCTTGACTAACAAGGAGACAGTACCACTAACTGGATAGGAGCATGATTGGAGACACAACGGCCAGAGCTTTCACCCCTACAGTATCTTTCACTATATGAACTAAAATAAAAAAACTTTTGTTTTTCTGAAAAACAATATTGTTTTTAGATTGGAGAAAAAAGAACATGAAAAGGCGTACTTGTCAAGAGAATTTAAAAGAGGGTTTCCATGCTGTAAATTTTAATCATTCTCTCTCCTTTTGCAAGTGCAGATTGAGTAGATATTTGTACTGTTCAAATGAAGCACAAATATAGAAACTGTGACTTTTTGACCCTTGGTATTTCACAATTCCAGCTAAAGTGCTATCCATCAGCTCTTTTGCTGCAGTTTTGCAGGATATCTTCTGCGATGTCTAATATCTTTAACTGTCATTCACAACAGCCAGAGCATTCACTCCAATGTCCCTAAACTACCAGCCTTGTCCATAGCACTTTCACAAAAAACTTTATTTTTTCAGATTTTCACTTTTTTCAGATCAGACAGATTTTTACTCCCTGAACAAAGCAGAAAAGAGTTTACTTCTTCAGCATTGCCTGACTAATTGATACCAGAACTTCACTGGATTCATTTCCTAGAGGAACCCAGCGACGTTACAACACCACTCTGAAACAGGTTGCACACTCTGCATGCTCATGTCCGTTGTGGGGAAAAAATGTCTTTTCATCTGTCCTTTGGCTGTATGTTTCCAAGCTCTGAATATGACGTCTGTTCACACTGACCTAAAAGGGCAAGATTGCCTCTGCAGTTTTCAGGTTTTAGAAGACCAAAATAATCTGTACATGCTTTCTGTCCACACAACATGCCTAACACCCTCCTGACTATAGTACCTCCACATCTCCAGCAAAACTCACGCTGACCTCCCCTGTGTCACCAAGGTCTCAAGCCACTTTAAGAAAGACGTGGTTTACAGATGACAACACATCAACATGGGGCAAAACTTTTACACTATGGAGGTGCTTTCAGAAAGCGTAATGTTTATTTTCATATATATTGCATAGAAGATTTTACAAGATGTTTACGTACTGTATGAATTAGCTTTGAACCACAAAGTACAGATTTATTTGTAGAAGTTCAGATGCTTAATAGCACAACATTTCTAACAACTTGTACTGGGTAGCTTTTACTGGCATGTCCCTGTTTTTCTCTCTAAACCACATCAGGCTCTAATTTGCCTCATAAAATCTGGGAACAATGTATGATATAAGTGCTTGTGAGTAATAAGGCAACTCCAGAGGAGTAAATGTTAAAGAAATACCAAATTTCCATCATAAAAAATATAATAAATTCTTCTGCTTTAATTATTATGTTTTTTGTTAGGATGAAACTTTTTTTTGCTGTTATGAATTTTAACAAGGAACAGGTCTCAATTAATGTTGAAAACTAAAGACTAATACCGTCAGCCAAACTGTTTGTAGAACATTAATAACTACTGTAGGCACTTACATACTACTTAATGCGCAGTTTCCTGCTTAACGCAAAGTCATAACTCAAGACATCAGGCAAGAGGAAGCAGGGTGGACAACCAGAATATACAGAAAGCAAAGCACAGGGGGACTATTGAACATTGAGAACCCTCGCAGAGACCCCATGGTGCCAGTCACGTAGCTTAACGTACTTGGGGCCGATGATTTCAGTGTTCACCTTTTCCCTGGACAACCAGTGAGTGGGATGAGGAACAGAAGGAGAAGAGGAGACAAGAGAGACGAGTTAAACCCCACTTGAAGTTTTTTTTTTTAGGTGAGTTCCACTCAGTTTGCATGCAGCAAGCCATGCATTCACTGTCTTGGGTTCTACAGTTCCCTTGACTTCATCAGCAAAGCCCAGTTACAGGGAATTTTAAGGTCATTAACACCCTTTCAGAATCCTTCTTCTGATGCTTAAAATGCTACAAGCCTGGCTCATGGTACCACTGGTTTATTTGTTCACTACAGTTTACTGCCAGTGGTTGGCATCACTCCTGAGGCTGGATGTCAGACGGCATGTTAACAGTTGAATAGATGGTCAGTTGAGAATCGTAAATCTCTGCTGGCTGTGCAAACGCCAACTTCACAGCACTTTCAGGAGCTCTGAAATGCCAAGCAGGAGGTGAGTTCTTCTGTATGTGAAACGAGTCCATGAAATGTGAAATGTTAAAGCCTGCCTAAGGGCAGCAGTCACAGTGTGGTCTGCTCAGTGAATAAGCCCATATGTCAGCTTTTACACTTCAGAAGCTATAAAAGTTTCAAAATGCTCTAGTAAAAAACAGGAGTAGAACATTCGTCACATTACTTCCTTCTCAGCCGTTACTTCTTGTAAAAAAAAAAAAATCAGTTCTTGAAATACCATGGAGGATCGGAATCAATAAACAACATCTAATGTTACTTAATTTAGTCAGGTTGAGAGTCTGTGGTAATATTTAAAATTGTTTGTGCCAGAAATGTTCCAATAAGAAGAGGATTAACATACATCAGTGAAAACCACAAGTTTTTTAGCCAAAGAAGAAAGTTAATATTCTTCCATTACAGTACATCACTATTTTTGTAAACCTCAAAAGTTCTTAACATTTATGTCTTCTGTCAGCACACTTAGAGCTGAAACTCCCTTAGTTCCCACCTCTGTTCCAATTCTCAGCTACATCTGAGACTGACTACATTCCTGGTGAAGATCACTATGAAAAGTCATCCTTGAATTCTGACCACAGTACATGAAAGATGTTCAAAAAAGAAATGTAACATAGACACAGCTGAGGCACAAATAGGCTGCTGTCCTGTAATTACAGCAAACACCAGCCTCTTTGCTGAATTATGCAGACAGATTAAGAGTATGAGTAAATATTGGGTATGTAAAGACAGAGCAATCAGTTATAATTTCAGGATCTATCATGGGCACCTAATAACAGTAGCAAGGACCTGAATAACCCACACCGAGGACAGTCAAAAGCCATGCTACTCAAATGTAGCTCTGGAAAGTGAAATATTTACAGAATTCTGTATAAGTTACTGCAGCATGAAAACTAGGATAACGTAAATCGAACAGTAGTAATGGATAGCTACAAGACAACCAAAAAGCTGTTAAGGAAACACAGTTGGTCACTGTGGATATAATTATCAAGAGAGATTTAAAAAAAAACATTTTAAAAAAGAAAATCCTTTAGAATTTCAGACAGCATCAAATACTTCTCCTTAGTTTTGAGCGTGCTGCCACCAGGAGTGTCTCGTGCACACAAAACCCAACATGTGACTGGAAATTTGCTCATCCCTTCTGCCAATAAACTTTGGAAAACAGCCCCACCACATACAGTATAAGGGACCACAAGGAAATGAACTGGAACACTTTCCAGAGTGACAGACCTGATCTCTACACCAGAGAACTGAAGCAACTGACCTCTAAAGGTTTCCTACCCACAACTGCTTCAATACATTCAGTACAGTACGACAGATCAAGACTTCCACCCACAGAGCTGCTCACAGACACAGCCAAAGCACGTGCCTTCAGCTTGAGAGCAGCACTGATTGCAGCTCCAAACTGTGGGTTTCTCCAGGGCTGTGTAGTGGTTGCTTCAATTCTGCGTTAAATCGAGCATGTCCAAATTTACTAGACTGGGAAGTAAGTATGGGTAGGTCTCTATAATGAGCACCCATGCAAAATCAAAATGCCATAAACACAGGGTATCAAATTCTACAAGCAGCAGTTCATCAAAATAGTAACTGTAACAGCAATATCAAGTTCATGCACAACAAAACAAGACAATCAAATCACTTGAAAACACAATTGCTTACTTTGTCTTTTTAGCAGAAATGGTTTCTGGTTCTTGCACTGCAAGAAAAAGAAAAAAACAAAGCAGGAAATTAAACAATTAAATTAAATTCAACAATTAAATGATTGTATGAAATCATTGGATTACAGAAATGAGCTTTTTTGCTGCTTTAAAAGTGAGGGAAAAAGTAATATAAACTTCATCCTGGTTAAAACCAGGCTCAAACAGCCAAAAAAGAATAAGCATCTATCGCAACCTCATCTCTCCATAATAGCCGGGTACATGGCCAACAGCTGGTGAATCTGTGACTGAGTTTGCTTTACTCCAGATCTGATCAGTTTCAAGAAACATTGGTTTTGTCTTGGGATGTAGCTGCACGTCTTTCTCCACTTACAGTGCGTGTGCAGCAGGCAACAGCAAGCCAGAGAACATACTGTATTTAGCTGTAGTTGTGAGCTCTGCTAGATGGCAAGCAGGCTTGTAATTTACACCACTGTAAGTCATAAGGACAGTCTGTGTGATCCCCTGTCATGGCATCTCCAAATAATCCCTTCTCTGAAGAACACAGAACTAAGTCAGCAATTGCCATCAGGGACAAGAGGACACTGCAGAGCCTACCTACTGTACAAAGACACTTGTAGTCTCATGGGATATTCTGTTTGCTCATGCTGATTCTCAGATAACTTTAGAGATTCTTCAGAGGAAGCTGAAGGCGATAATCTGATTCAAGTAATGACACATGTTTATAAAACGCCACATAACATAACAAACATTATTAATAACATTCCATTTCATTTGCAAAAGCGTCAAACTGAAAAGCAGCAATACTGTCTTGTAGCCTGATCTCTTGAGATTTCAAAAGCTCAGCCTGGGCCTGGTCCCCGCTGGGATGGGAGACATTTAAGGATATGCAGGATGCTCTTGCAAGTGCTACTGGTGGATTAGTAGGAGTCACTCTTCCCTCTAGACTTGGATTTCCAAACCAATGCCCCAGCATTGCCGTCCTTCAGATAAGACATCAAACCATGGTACTGACTTCAATGTAAGTAAACTGAAGGTAGTTGGAAATGAAGAGGGTCCAGTCCTCTTTGGAAACTCCTGCTCATATTTTCTATATTTTCTTTATAGTCAGTTGACAATCTCTTGACTAGTTTGTCAGTAGTTTGCTTTCACTCTGGACCTGAACATGCTGGGTGTCAAGGTCACTCAGTCCTGGAGCTCCAGAATGTTAAAGAGGAAGGAATGGCATCATGGTGACACAAGACTTCAGGGGTGCTACGTACAGCGCTCGGTGCCCGTGATCTGTGCCAGGATGCGGAAGGAACGCGACTGCGAGGTGCCAGTTCTGGGGTGCCAGTCCTCAGTATCTTCCATCAGGCGCTTCTTGCTGGCATCACCGTGAGAAGGCACGTGGTAAAACTCGATATCTGTGTCCACGGCAGGCTTCCGTGGTGCACTAGACAAATTAGAAAATGAAAGTGTAAATTTCACAATCGCAGGGCTCATTATACTTACAGATTTTGCAAACTTGTCGTTATAATGAGCTTTTGCTATGAAGCACTCAAATTGTTCCTTGTTCAAAATAAGCTGCAGTTATTTTGAACTAAGCAAAATGGGTAATCCAAATAAATATCCGGGAGCGTGCACAATCAGCCTTCGGGTAAGGCCTTGCTCAAAGAGACAGCTGGTGGCTGTCACAGCTAAATAATTAAAGGCAGGTTTAGAACAGGCAATATGCCTGTTTCTTTTATGCTTTGATATAATAGGAACAACAACATATGATTAGGTTATGAAAGGCTTGCAATGTCCAGAGGGAGGTCTGCTATTCAATCCTGTTTACTGTTAAAAGCTCTAATTGAGGTATTTGAGAGGGTTTAAAATATACATAGGAAAGTCTTGGAAGTCACTCCACTGTTTATTGATTGGCTCAGTTACACTAAGAGTTTACACAAACAGAAACAAAGAATATATTTTAACCCTACAATGCACATATGCTTTATAAAATTAAAACTTGAAAATAAAACTATCCCATCAGAGTGTAATCTGTTCCTAGAGGCTGCTCTTTTACCAGCTCTGCACAGTACTAAGAACAAGAGAAAGGAGAAGGCTTTTTGACATTTACCGTCTTGGTGGGCTTTTCCTGAAGGACAGAGGAGAGAGAAGGCAGAGAGGGACAGGAGGAGACAGTGAGTTCAGCTCCAGAAAGAAAACAAAAGGTTGGAAACAGAAAACCACCAGGAGCAGTGCATACGGACAGAAGAGTACAGTTCATTCACAAAGCGGCAGCACTTCCCTTGATGAGTAAAAAACATGGCTACCTGAGCACTACCTTATTTTAAAGCATATGGCGTCTTTAAAACTCAGGTGCTCTGTCGAATATACTGTATTGTAAAACACATGAACGTTCGGCAGCCAGATACTGCAGGGGCCTAGTATAAGTATGTACTCCAAAAACCCACATGAAATCAGGACCACTTTAAACTGCTTAAAAAGAACAATAAAATGAGCACGACAGAGGCAGGGAACAGTTAGTTAAGCAACTGGAATTATAACAACTGCACAGATGCTCTGAAGCAACACTGGAGCTTTTGAATTTGTTGAAGAGCGCTCATCAATAAAATTGTGTAATACATTCCTTAGTGCCACCACAGATAGCGAGACAGCACTACTAGGGGTAGATCTGTACTGGAGTGTTCGCACTGTTTTTCTTCTGGTAAATTTTATTTTTGTAGAAATACACTAGGTCCCATCATGTTGGATATAAGCCCAACAATGTCTCATTAATAGCCTTCAAAGCTCCAGATTTCTTTACCTAAACTATGCACTGCAATATTTGTCATTTAACTCATTTTGTTTTGCATTTACCACACCTTAAAGTGAGTGCTGCTATACCAAAGTTAATAAATGTATATATACATAAAATAATTAAAAATCCTAAAAATATATTTCCTAACAACACACCCAATGCATTCAAAACCACATTTGTGACTATTGTGAAGCAATGTAACACGATTTGATGGAGGGCTTTAAAAACAAGCGCTTTAAAGAACAGGGTAAAATGAGAGGCACTGGGGTCAGATTCCTCAAGTAATGTTATAAACAAGCATCAATCATGCTATTTTAACAGGATATGGCATGGAAATCCTGAAACTGGTGGTTTAAATTGGCAGTGATATGCAATGGGCTATAGAGGGACTCAGACCAATGATGACAAGAGCTGTCAGAAACAATGTTCCAACAGACAGCCAGAAAGAAATCTGGAGACTCTGACAGAACACATTCAGCTGCGGTTCAGTCAGTTCCCAAAGTAGCCTCGGCTCATCCTCACAGTTAAACTGATCAGATTTTCACAGAATATTCATCTAGAAATATCAGTAATGAAATATTTCCTGCAAGCTCAGGAACAGCAGGAGAAAATAGATCACAAAATATTGGTCAAACCTCATAATACATAAAACATGTTATTCTTCTTACATTTTTATGCTGATGGTACACCAATATGCTTGAAATTAAATTTTTAGGATTGTTGAAACGTATTACCTCCTGGCCAAAAAAACTCTTTGACAACATTTCTGTATGTGCCTGTTTTCTCCTGAAGATAAAAGGTATGGTTGTATTTGAATTTAAGGTAGAGGTTAATAGAATTTGAAAGCACATCAGGGAAAAAGGAGAGTATTACTCTAAACCTTCCCTCTTTCTAACCAAAAGAAAACTAAATAAATTGGTTATTTTTTACTTCGACAGTGTGCATTTCCAAAGGGGTCTTTTTTGGCTCCTACTCTTTTATGAAACAAATACTATTTGTGTTGCGTGCTCATCATTCAATGAAGGAAATAAAAAAATATATATACAAAGCATAAAAATGGCCAAACACATTACTTACTTCAAGATGCTCTGGGGCCCACTAGTGAGGGTAACAGAAGAAAGAATTTTTAAATATTTTATAGAAATTAAGTCTCATGACAATGTTATACAAAATCAAAAAGCACAGCAAACTGAACCCCAGTCAGCACCAGGGAGAGCTGCAGCAATCATGGAGACAAACCCCATAGGCATGTCCGACACTGTGCTGGACAGTCCTAGACATCTCCTCTCCTAACACTCGCAAAGCAAGCCTTTACGGAATGAAAGCGCTTTGCAGGCATGCCATCCATTCTACATCCTCCAAGGGCTACCTTATTTAGAAATGAAGATGAATTATTCATAATCCTCCAGTTTATTATTAACTTCTTTATTCAACTGAAAGTTAGTCATTGACTTCCTTAAATCAATGCACTACCTCATCCTCTACTGACAGAGGTATGTAGATCATCCACTTTTAATCCTCCATCAAGCCCGTCTGGAAACACGGATATTGCACTAACAAACCACAAGGGGTTTGGGAGTGAAACATCAATGCATTTTCCATTTACAGAGCTGAGGCAGTGGTCCCATCTCTCTGGGATTAAATGAGGCATTTAACTTGAGTCCACAAATAACAAAATCCATGCACATGGGATGACAGGGACTTTTGGCACCTGCTTAGCGGAAAACAGCCAGCATGTGCTGAACTGGGTTTGCAGTATGCGGTTGGCTGGCAGGCTGAAGCTCTGACTTAGTCTGGGCTTGTTCTCTGTGTGACCTTGGAGCCCGGGAATGGAAAGGATGGACCAGCTGCTCAGCGTGAGCGTGACTCTGTCCAGCTGTGCACTGGAGGCTAGGGGCTAGGGTGCTGGGTCTGTGAGGAACACCAGCAGGTGAAGGGAATCCCCACCCTTTCAGAGTGATGACAAAAATTGATTCCTCTCTTTCAATCCCTGGTCTCTCGAAATAAACAGAACCGCATTTGCAAATCTCCTTGGGTAAAAACCCTTTCCAGTCATAAATAAACATTTTCTTGGTAGGAATGAATTGTAGTCTGTATTCTTTGGAGGTACTTACCGCATACAAAAATACTTTTGTAATTTTTGAAAAAATACTTTTGTACGGTTTGGACTGGGTAGGTCAGATTGTTGCATATGACTGATTTTGAATTACATTCAAACTACCCATGTTAAAACTGTCTGCCTAACTGTCCTATAGAACAGACATTCCTCTCTCGCGTCTTGAAAATACTTCTGCCAAGGCAGTGGAGTGTTCCACCACCAGCAGCAAGATGGCGCTACAATACACTAAATCTCCTGAAAGGTACATATAATACCAGTGTTTCTGTGATATTCTTCGTTAATAGAGACCACATTGAAAATTGAAAATTCAGTTAATGTGGTGCTAAAGAAAAAAGTAATAATTTAAAACACAGAACAAAAGTATTATTATCTACTCCTTCACTACATGCATCTACCTCCTATGCTCACAGATTAATTAATTATTAATCAACCGTGATTATTCCACTTAAAATAGTGTTTCTGCTCCACAGCAAATCTACAGTATGTATAATAACTGTTTGGTTTTGTCAGGACAGGAAATTGAGGTTCTAAACCACCTTATTAACACTTTAAAGCACTTAAAGAACACCTGCAACAACTCACGTTAATAAGCACTCAGCAGGAAGAGATGAGGCAAACTGCTTCACCTGGCAGCAGAAGAAAAGAATTCTTAACAGCTGCTTGTGCTGTCAGGCTTTATATGCAGGTTGTAACCAAAAGCCAAATTGTTTGAATTTCAACCAGCAATCACTGAACCGTTTACTGAATCAGTACTGTCCAAACCCTCCATGCAGGAAGAGACCATCTGATCAAGAACTTGGTTCGTGCTGGTCTGTCAATTATGTGGTCTTGTGGAATGATGCACAGGAAAAATGCACACATTTCACTGCACACACATGCTTTGCCCACTATATGAAAAGACTCCAATGAGACACACAATGCCATGCATTTATGGTATTAAAGCCTTCAGTTCATTTACTATATCTCCAAATACATGCTGACCACAGCACACATCACCAGCCTGTTGGGATGAGGTCACTAACTTTATGACTGGAGTCTCCTATAAAATAAAAATAAGATTTAGGGGGGAAAAGGTCAGTTTTATTTACAAAGACAGCCACTTCCCAGCAGCAGGCGCTCTTCTCCAGGAGCTGCGTTCACCATTGCTGAAACTTACCACCTGTGCAGTGACACGTGTGGCACAGAAACCCCGATTTTTTCTTTTTTGGTTTTTGATCAGGAGGCACTAAAATCAGCCAGACTGGAATGAGCAGCAAAAAGAGTGTGCAAGATACATGCAGCTCCCATGTAGCGCAGCAAGTAGGAGCTATGGCTCTTGGGAAATATTACAGACGATAGACATTGGAATGGTTAAAAATAACAAGAGGCCTTGGGTCCATCCAGCCTGTTTGGTAGTTAGTAGCTAATGGATCCAAACATCTCTTCCAGCCATTTCATGAAAGAAGTATTAGCTTCAACAACATGGCTGGGCAGCTTGTTCAACACTCCCAAAACCCTTTCTGTTCTCAGTTTTAAATGCACTAGTAGCTTCTTCTGGTTTGTGGTTCACTGCTCATTCTACAGAAGTGCACTGCAATAACTTTATGTCAATGTCTTAGGATTTTGAAAACAGAACTTGTATGAGGTCCTTCCTAATCTGTTCCGTTCAAGACTAAAAAGGTTCGGTTTCTTCAGCCTGTTAGTGTAGGATATTCCTTTAAGCCTCAGATGATGATTTTCTCCCAATAGATTCCAGAGCAGCAATATCTTTTCTATAACTTGCTGACCTAAACTGCACACAAAATTCTAAATGAGAGCTGACTAATGCATCATTCATTTTAAACATAACACCCCTTGATTTCAACTTTAAAACATTATCTATATATTGTAACATTTTATTTTTGACCAACTCCAAACATTTTCCAGAAGATATAAATGACATCTCAATACAAAAGTTTTTTTATATACTTAGCCTCTTCAAGCTCAGCTCAGTATTTTCCACTTTGTAGTAAAAGGTGTTAATGCTTTTGCTGCCCTCATATAAAACACAATTTTGTGTGTATTAAATGTCATTTTCTAGGTGTTTGCACATTTTAGAACTTTGTCTAAATCATTTAGCATTTAATTTTGAATTATGATCATTCATATAAATTAGGAAGATGAAATAAACACACACATTTCTCCTGATTGTACTGGCTGTAATTTGAGAAATAATAAATTTATGAGGAAGTAGATCAAAAGCCTTCTGAAAACTTAAATACACTTTATTGTATGACCTACTGTATGTGTGTCTTGTTCAAAGAAATCCAACAAGCTGGCTGGGCACTGAAGTACAAACCATGTGACAAACATCTACAAATAAAAAGGCCAAAATAGGGTTAAGTTTCTTTAAACAGAATAAAGAATCTACATGTCAGAGCCACAGCTGAACTGAAAAGAATGTAATATTAAAACAGACTAAAGCATTTCAAAGTCTGGAGGGAGAAAAATAAAACCTACAGCACTGCGGTTGCTTTCAGAGCTGGCTGGGTAAACCTCACAGATAATGAAAACCAAGAGAGAATGTCTTCATTCCCAGAACGATGAGAACAGGCTGAGTAAACAAACGCATTTTTAAAAAAATGATTACCATCACTGCTAATTAAGAAGAGATTTCAAGCATTTAAATACCGTATAGCACATGCTCTTTCTCCTACAGACATCCCGAGTCACAAGGGCTTTTTTGGCGGCTAGAAAAGTTGTCCAAACATTGTTTGCAGGCACGTGAAAAAGGCAGAAAGGAGGCACAAGAACCAGTGAAAAGAGCAATCAAGAAACAGCTCACATCTGTAACCTTCCTGATGTTCTTGGGTTCTAAAATCATTAGCTGTTTACACGACACTGGGATTTTCTAAAGGTTTGTTTTTACAGCGAGAGTTGACCCGAGAGTGGGCTATTCTGTTCACACGTTCCTTCCTTTGGCATGAAGAATATCATCATAAAGCAAGAACATAAGAAACAATAAAATGTAGGGGAGGCCATAGGCCTGTCTGGCTCATTTACTGGTACTGGTAGCTAATTGAAGTTCTTACCAAACTGTTTGTTGGAAAAAAAAGACGGGACTGTCTTTATCAACATGACTGAATAACTTGTTCCAGCCCCTACAATTAACTGTGTGAAGAAATGGCTCCTATTACTAATTTTAAAGTGCTTCCCTACAGTTATTACTTGTGCCTTGTGCTTAAAGGTTCACTTTCACTGTTGTTTTTGAAGACATCCCTAGGGTTGACTTTGTCAGTGTCTCTGAGGATTCAGAAAATGTGAATCAGTTCCTCTCAATCATGTTTGTTTTAAAGCGAAAAAGAAACATTATCTTAGCCAGTCACTGCTGGACATTCCTTTAAGCCTGGAACCTACCCGGCTGCTCTTCTTTAGACTGATTCCTGAGCAGCAACATCTTTTTGGTAATAGTGGGTTATTAGTTCTGACTGAAAGAAAACACTGGGATAAAACTGCAGTGGTACAGAATTTGTCAGTAAGAAATTTCCAAGGATACTTAAAGAACTCAAGTCAAAAGCACTGATGCTTTCTTTTTTTATTAAAAAACGATATAATCCCTTTAAAGAAAAAACTACTTTCCAGTATGGGACATATCCAAAAATCCACAGCATGCCCAACAGGCCCAAATGTAAACAGATACAATTACTTTAAGTCTAAATATATTTGTAGAAGGTCAGGGACTCTTGTGCTTGAATTTCACTAGCATTAGGTTCTTCCTTGTCTAAGCAGATTTTTTATAGCAGTAGCAATGAAAGAAACCAACATGTGAGACCAAGATGTGTATCTGTCAGCAACCTGCTGTTTACTTAGCAGAGGTACAGTAAACTGTGCTGGCAGGACTGTCCATGGGCAGAGAGTTTCAGAGGTCATGTGTGTGAGACAGCCTCAAGTACAACATTTCCTGCTTTTCTGCCATCTGCGGAATCGAGACTGAAAGGGCACCGTACAGAGACCTCTAGAACATAAGCGCACTGCAACTCAGAAAACATTTAAGGAGGTTCCTTTCCTTTTCCTGTAAAAAAAAAACTCTCAAGCTTCTATTGAAAATTCCAAATCACCTTGCTAGGTGACAAAAGACACTTGTACAGTACTTACCTACAGCACAAAAAGAATGATTTCACCTGTGTCTGTGAGACTGGAAGTGCTCCATATGTGGGTCAAAGGTCTCTATACAGAATAGGCCTGTAGTCCAATGCAGCTCTAATGTTCCGCTAGCATAATTTAATGACTTTTGGTATTATTATTATTATGATTATTATTATTTAATTTAAATTAATGGTTGACACCTACAGTATGTTGTGTTAAATAAAAAGTGAAAGTAAAGCTTTCCTATAGAACAATATATAGGCTTGAATCCATTTACTGTTTTTAACTACCAAAGGAGCATGATGGACAGAATGGCCTCCTCTAGCTTGTTGACTTTCTCATGTTCTAACAATCAGCTGTGTTCACAATAACCACCACTGAATTCTTCATCCCAAGGTATGTCATGAAATAACACAGAACTCCTGTCTCTCTCACGCTGCTGGAGATCTGCATGGGAGATCTTTGCTGCTCAGTATCAGCTAGAGGTTTCTGGGCGCAGACGAGCGTGTGATTCAGGCCAGACCACGAGAAATCTTCTTGCCAGGAAAGTATTTTGTAGAACAGCCAGCTTGTGCAAGCATGTGCAGTGGGCTGAGAAGTACGAGACCAGATTGAGATGTTTTGAATCCAACCATGTTTATCTTTACAGCCAATCCACTTTCTCTGCGATTATTTATACTCTACACAACAGTTTTCAATTTTTTTTATTACTCTGACCTGAAAGCAACTGTAGTTCATAGTAATTTATGAGAAACTAAAGAATCCTAGATGTGTTTTCCAAACAGGACTTGATGGAATATTTATTGCTATTTAGAAAGCCTTGAGAGCAACCTCTCCTCCAATGAGGTGAATCCAAGCTAAGAGGTTTGGCTGCAAAGAGATTGAATGAATTCATTTCAATTTCCCAAGCTTCCAAACGCATGTCAAATTGGAATTAGCTTTTTGAAAACAATAATCTTTCATCAATAAATAACTGGGGTTATATTAGGAGACTCTGCAGCTGCTCCTGATTTGAAAGTGTTAAAATGTATTTTTTAGTTCATTTCTTTGCTGATGCAAATCCAAAACCACACTAATCCAAAGTAAAAATGAGTGCCACAGCATTCCTATTTTCCGAATAATCCCCTGATAATTTCAGGATGACAGTTCCTAGTATTTTCTTCAATTTCAGTGGTATTTTGCCTCCAGTACCAACCAGTGATAACCTTCACTGACAGTCTGAATTGCACATGCTCTCCGCACAACCAGTTTTTTCAGTAACTGAGGTTTTAGATTGTGGTGTATTTGCTGGTTCAACAGCACAAATCAGCACAGATCAGAAAAGCAGCACCATTTAACCTGCTGCAGCACAAAGAGAATCAATTTAAGATGAAAAATATACCCACTATTGGCACATACTACGCAAATCTCACATAGAGGACATCAAGTTCAGACTGTTACTGGATACAAGACACTTTTTTCACACCATTGATACCGAAAAAAGAAAAAGCTGTAAATTACAGAAATTACTTTTTCCAAATGTATCAGCACATTCAGTGCTTTGTCATTTTAAAGAAGACCTTTAGGCCTAAATGAAAATATTAAAGAGGATTATTCTGGAAAACAGGAACAACACGTCACAGCGTTTTATTCCTTTGCCTCAGATGATCGAACTTCTCAAAATCTAAAGTTTTTGGAGGAAGTCAGAGAGGGGAATGTTCCGCAGATGTAGATGAACCATTTTTGGTGCCTGTGTTGTTTGCGAGCGTGGGGTCTGACTCTGAAGCACACGCCTGCTGGTACCGCAGTAAAGCCTCCAGCTGTGCCAGGCTAACGGGGTACCTACCCGTTGTGCTGGGAGGGACTCCCCTGGCTGTCCTTCAGCCCCCTCCTCTGACCCTCAGCAACCTCGCAGGCAGTGTCATTGGAATAAAGGTTGATGGGGCTGTTATAGACAGAAGGCTGTGGCGGGACATTAGCAGTCACGGGCGCGGTCACCCTCGCGCCTGCGGGAGGGGGAACACGCACACCCGAGGGGGGTGATTTCACGGAGGAGGGGCAGGAGACAGCACTGGCTGCGGTGGAGGGGGGGATGGGGTTGGTGGAGGGGGGGATGGGGTTGGTGGAAGAGGTGGCAGGGGTGAAAGCAGAGTGTGCCGAGGGAATGGAGGCCACCTTAGGGGCAGCTGCCCCGAAAGGCTTGGCTGTCTTGTTGTAGGCCAAGCTGGGTGCAACAAGCGGAGAAGGCGCACTGGGCACTGGTTTAATGGTCTGCTGAGGCTCTTCCTGTGCAGGGACACAAAACACACACACACACAGCACACATCACCCACATGCAGCACACCAGACACTGATGCCTCCTCACAGCCTGGCCAACTCAGCCAGAGAAACAGGCCTGAGCTTTAGCACAACACCTACTGAAATCACAGAACCTCCAAAAAAGCAACTAAAAACCGCCTTCATGGACTTTGTGGATCGCTCAGAAAACCGAGAGGCTTTCTTGTTATGTCTTTGAAAAATGGCTTAGCAAATTGAGTGAATACGAGGAGGCTGGGAGAAGACATCAGTAAACTATACTATTGTACACTGGAAAACAAGGTGACAGGTGCACTTAGCTGGCACAGTTAAATGAATGTGAAGCTGAAATGGCTTAAAATATAACCTGCATGATTTCACCATGCCTGATTCACACATGTTCTCAGAAAACCACAGGAATCATGCATATTTGCTGTGTATGGGCATTTGGGAATACAATTCCAAAACATGCATTACACAATAAAAAAAAATGCATAGCTAAATAAAAAAATCTAAGAATCTGAAACATGTCCACAAGACAAAAGCTTTATCAATGCAAATATAATTAGATTAGTTTCTTTTATTGAAAAGAGCTTTGAGATAGTCCTGAAAATTCCTAGATGTAACAAAAATCTTAATTTGTAGACATTCTAATGTACACACTATTTTTCTACATTATCCTATTGTTACAAAACAACAATACAATCTGTCAGATAGTCACAGGTACTTTAAACCTGTGTTTAGTACAACTTAAACTAGCTGTTCTGTAAAATGTGGGGCTTCATCAGTGAGATCTATCACAGTTTGACAGAAAAGCACATCACTGATAGAGATGAACTTACCTTTGGAGCAGGAGCTGGTGCAGGTTTGGGAACACTGGAAGCCCTACAAAACAACAGACTGTTTTTAAAAGAAAGAAAAGATTGGCATATTTGTCATATAGCATTTATTTCCTCTCTTATTGTATTTTGAGAACAACATTTTTTATCTGCTTGTAAAATATGACAACAGTTGGTTTACATTGTGTTAACAAAAACAAATTGCACTGTTTTATAAATCAAACTAATTTGGAGAGTTTTGTTTTAGAAGCCAGCTGCCAATTAAATGTTTCAATTTAAATGCAGTGTTACACCCAGCTTGCAAAGGCCTTTTTATATGTCTGACTCACAGACTCATTTTTAATTAGCAAACCACTGTGTTCTGAATCCTTTGCTCTCAGATTTATTATTCCTTAATTTAATCTGTCACCATTGAATATTGCTTTGGAAATATAAAACAATTATTGAAAATTTAACTGTGACAATTCAAGAGACCACTGACTAACACTCATAATATACTCAAAAGGCAGAGATTTCTCACCTTCTACTACATGTTCCAACATACAAAAACCCGTCACCAGAACTATTCTAGATTTGGTCACATTTGATACTGATTAAAAATGTACTCTGCACATAAAACAATGTCTTGTGTTGAACAGTTTCTTATCGACAGTTTATTAATGGGTTATCTTGCTGTCTTAAGAGACAACACTGTAGAGGCTTTGACTCAAAAGTTCAAATCCAGTAGCAGGCTGCTTGGATCTTCCTTCACTTATCAATGCCTTTTCGGAAACTGATCAAGCCTTAATTGAGGACTGAAAGGGCCCTGGTAATAGCCTTTCCGTGCCTTCCAGCACCCTCTGTTGGAAAGTGCACTCAGTGCATGGTCTGTCATTGGCCACTGTGCAAGTACAGCTAGAGTGCAAGAAAATCAGAGGCATAGGGCAAACGGAAAGGGACAGTCCTGGAGGTCAGTGAAACAATTTGGCAATTAAGGAAAGGAAACAAATTTATGGACCAGAGAAATGGACTTTAGGTACCCAGGTGGTTAGAGGACAGGGCTGACTCACACATGTTTGTGTTCTTGGATTTTGTGGATTTCCTGTTGCTTCTCTATTTCTTCATATACACGTAATAACACATTAGTATGATGTGTTCAGTTGTGTTACACCAAAGTATGCAAAGCAACACGTTTTCTGAAAATGACGCAGGGCAAATTGCTAAACACCAGCCAGAAAACATTCGCTGCCTAAAACAGGATAACCCTGAAGATTTCCTGATCCTTTGAAAATTTGGTGTACTACTTTGAGCTCTGAAAAAAAAACTTAATTTTCCAAACTTTTTAAGAAACAAAAAAAACCCTCTTCCAAATCCTCCTTATTTGTTTTGAAATTTGCGCCTTTTGCTCTTTCACTTTTAGAACAGGATGAGATTCTTATGCAGAAAATGATTATTAACTGTGCATGATACAAAGGATGTAAATCACTGAAATGACACCTTAATACACTTCTCTGTTTTTCCTTTGGCAAGCTGTGCGCTTGCTAAGCTGTTGCCAACTTACGTCAAGGAGATCTAATAAATCTTACAGCATACAGTAGTATCCATGAAATTTATTAGCCATGTTACCCGTTTGCTCTCACAACATTTATGTTGGGAACTAGAAAGCTTTGCCTCTTGTAAATCAAAAGTAGGGAGGAAAACAAATCTAAGGCAAAATGACCAGCTGACCAGCTGAACTCCTGCCTCTTGCAGACCCGATGTTCTGTCTCACATGCACATACAGTACGTGATCATAAGGAGAGCAGAACAGAGGCAGGCTTCACGGTGCTGGTCATTTTCCCTCTTTCAGGCCCTGGGTTGACTAAATTACTTGGGCTCCCCAAAGGCTTTTATCTCAAAAACACACCATAACAAAGGGAAACCATGAAAGGGGACAATCTTGTTCCCTTGGTCATTAAGAGATAAATGATCCCAGAATCGCATCTGGCCATTCAATAAAGATTCCAGAGAAGCAGCTTCAACTACATGGCATGGCAAATTTGTGTCAGGTTGTAACTATTCTAAGATGCAAAGGAGTGCACCTTACTTTTGTCCCACAATGCACCTGCATTGAATTTTCACTGACCGGGTACTTGTTTTACTCTTGAGGATGAGGTTATCCTGTGAATTGACTTTGTCTGGTCTTTTCTGTTCAACACTAAAGAGATTTAGTCAATTTTACAAGCAGGAGTGAAGCACAATTGCACTTACTGTATGTACAGTATATGGAGAAGAAATTTGTATGCAAGTCTTCCTTATACAGTACTTGGTCACCATAGCCACTGCTTTCATTTCCCATGACAAGGTCATAAACACTCCAAAACAAACACAAAACAGCCCTGAAGAACACTGCGCTCTCCCTGATCCTGTTGTCATGAACAATAACTGCTCAAGCTTACATACAGTACAGTAGTTGAAAGCCCCTGTGCACAATGGCAGCCCATGGAAGCTTAAGACCAGCAGGTTTATGGGTCTGTTAAAACCCTCAATAGCTGGAGACCTCAAGAGTCTTAGAGAAGGGTTTCACTGGTCCACTTATGTAACAGTCAACTCAATTAGGCCATTTAGGAGCAGAGGTGGAATGAATACCTGCAGATTCAGTATTGGAATTGTGCATCCCTGACTAAGGGAAGGTACTGTGTTAATAAAACAAATAGCAAATGTTCTCAGAGGTCTTTTGGGACTGGAAAGATACTGGCAGATGCCTTTGTCAAGCCATGTCAAGATAAAAAGATCTACAAAACCTTTTTAAAAAGATTTCCAACATTATATGAAGATTTTAAAGATCTGTGAATTACTTCACTGTTACAGAGTGGAAAAGGTGAAACACAACTCCAGCTCTAGAGATCAGAAACGAACATAGGGAATACCCGGTCGACCCACAGAGAATTCTCTATCAGCTTTCAGTAAACTTAAATATTTTATTATCTTGTGGCATTTTCCCACTTCATACAGTATATCACCTTTTTCCACTGTTAAAATACTGCTTTTATCACTGCCAAAATGACCAAGAACAAAAAAGCTTCCTACTGCTGTGACTCTTTTACTTACATAGACCATACAGCACTGATTGCAAACAAGTACTGGAGCATCTCTTAATAGTTTAACAGTGCAGACACTACATCCACTTACAGTAGATACCAGAAGTGTGGTTGTCACATTTAATATACCAGTAGCAGACAGGTAACCAAAGGGGCAGCTCTATACTCTACTCTTTATCAAATCAGGAACTACCCCACATTTCACTCCTTATTCCCATATATGACCAAAATGTGGTAGCACAAACATGTTTGAATGAAAGCATCTCTAGCACTGGAGCAGGAAACGAAATCCATTTTTTAAGTAAACCTTGTGTAATGCTGAGTGGTTCCCATGTTAATATTACTGGCATATGTCCTGTGGTTCTTTGCAGAGTCTAGACAAATTAACATCTCCTCCATTAATCACTATCAGGTCACACGATACCGCTATCTTAAAAACAACACTGTCCTTTCACTTCCGAACTAAAGACATCCTGCTTTCTCAAAAGCTACAGCTCAAAGAGAAAACATTCCTGTATCTCTGACAATAAATGCATCAGCTGCATAACTTCTAATAAAAGGGTGATTTTCTTAAAATCCAAACACATTCCCTGCCCTTTAGAGACATTCTGCCTTATTTGGGAGAAATGTGACATTGCATTCAGTATACCATTTTTTCCTAAGCTAAAACAGACCAACAACAAATACTTATTCTGTGGCTAATTTCACCCCTTCTCTTTTTTGTGATTGCTCCCAGATGCCTTATTACTATAGAAATTCAAGTTTTTTTCCTTTTTTTTGGCTACATTTCCAATTGGAAGGACTGACTCAATAATTCAACTTTTTTTGTTGTTATTAAGTACTTAAAAGCTATCTCTCTAAATAACCCCAGTACTTAAAACAGTATTGGTAACAAAGTCCTGTTGTGCTTGCTTTCTCTTTATTCTTGACACAAACTGGGAACAGGACAGTTAATCACAGTAGGTGTGCAGTGTTCATCAAGGAGTGCAGTACTTGTAGGAGAGGAAATTAATTACCCTCGTGAAAAAAAGACTGTGACATTTGAGTTTCGGTATCTTTTACATTTCTGTGGCCTGAACATCAAGACGTCCTCACAGACCCTTCTGAACACCCCTTCAGACATTGCCTGTCTCAGCCAGTCCGACTGTGCTTCAGTCAGGTTCACTGTACTGTGATCTTAACTTCACAATCTGCAACCAATGCTTTGATTCCCAACATTGTAACTTAAAACTATTTTGCTTCCCTTGGTAACTAACTCCATTGAGCTTATGATGCTCTTTTTTTCAAATTTGCTCTAATTAATGTTGCCATCTGCAAAATCTTTACTTTTATCTGGGAATTTATAATGTGCCATTATACCAGTAAAATAAATGATTAAAAAACATTAACAATCAATGGCTTTTATTGCAATTTCCAAGTCTTTCAGCATATGACACAATGGCAATGTAAACAAACACGAATGAAGCTATCAGACAGGGAAATCAAAGCAGGTGGACTGGTGGTTTTGAAAAAGGGCTTGTCATCCACCAGGTGCGGTCCTAAGCAATGTACTCTATCTTCTTGGACTGTGGTTTCAGGATACCCACAAGTTTTTATTAATTTATTTTTATTATTTATTGTACTGAAGAATGGGGAAAATATCACAGCAGAGATGCTGACAGCTTTTCCACTGTTACCAGAAATGTCTGCATGTAGAAATGATAAGGACACATTCAATACAAATCCTGTGTGTGTGAATACCATTTCTGTACTGTTACTGTGTCAGTGCTAGATATGTCTATTGCTATGTTTTGTGATGCTGAATGCCCATCATACTGCGTGATCCTTTGCTGAGGTTATGCAGGAGGCACAGCATTTTTCTTTGACAAATCTCAACTGATGGATGAGGAAAAACACGAGACTCAACATGTTTAAAACACAGAGAACATGTTGCAGGTTTTATCCAAGCATTCTTAGTAACCACAGAAATAATTTGTCTTTATTCTAA